CCCCCCACCACCACCGCTATCATCCTCATCATCACCCCCCTCATCCAAAAAAAGCTCATACTGGTCCCCCGTCGACCGACTCCACGCGGCAGGAAGGACATCCGCCTCCGGACAACCGGTGGTATTCGCGCACGGGTTGGACGCGCAGCAGCCGAGGAAGCGCGGCTCGGTGAAGTTGCACGCGTACCAGTTGTCGTTGCTCTCGCCGATGCAGGAGTTCGGGCTGATGGCGTCGAAGACGGCGCCGTCGAAGGAGGCGGCGTAGGTGTCGGGGCAGGGGTGCGTCGTGTTGATGTTTGTGCAGGGGTCGGAGCTGCAGCAGCCGACGAAGTAGGGCGCCTCGGGGCACACGTACCAGGTCCCGCCGGAGGGGCAGGTGAAGTGGCAGTTTTGGGAGCCGTGGGTGCAGGAGGAGTCTGAGTCTGAGGATGAGGATGAACTCATTGTGTGTTTGTGTGATGTGTAGGGATGGGAATAGGAAGGGTGAGGATAAGGATAAGGGATGGAGAAGTATATGCACGATCAGTAAGGATGGAGTTTCGAGGAGTTCCCAAACAGCGGGTCTGGGGGGTTCTCGTTTCAAAAGGGACAGAAGCAACGCAGCTGAGCTGAGGACCGATGGCTGCTACGCATAAATAACAAGGTCTGAACGTGTTGACAAGGCTGTGAGCTTGGCCGGCCCAAGTGGACCTGCCAGCTGCGACTATGGATCCGCAGTCCACTCCACAGTGGACGGTGATTGGCAAGTGCGTGGACGGGTTCAGAAAAGAAATGAAATGGCCCCAATGGCTTCGAACGGTGGGATTTAGCGCTTACGTTTCCTTCCTGCCCAGACCTTTGGGGCCGTGCGGCTGAGGCGGAGCCACCGACACCGACACCGACACCGACACCCTGAAGTGAACTGAAGATCAAGAAGGCTGACGAGGAGAATGCCTGGTCGTATGATGCAGGACATCATCTAGCTATTGTTTGATATAAAGGAGAGTGGTAGACTCAGCGGGCATGTCAACTCTATCTCATTCCCTCCCCTATCGCCGTCAATAGAGTCAGACATACGTAGAGCTCATCAAGACAAATACGCAGTCAGCAGCAATGGCGTCTTGGCCTGCGTGTTTTTACGCACCTGTCCAACCCTTTCCAGAGGCGATGCTGCTAGGGCGAGACACATGGCGGTGTCTGTGCTACACGGCCTTATGCAGCACGAAGCCTATTCGATGGGTCGAGACAGAGTTCCTGGGGATATTTGCTTTTCTTTACGAGATGTGGAGATGAACTTATGAAGTCTGGCCTTCGAAGTCTTTAAGAGAATGAACATTACTCCGTAGGTTGAGTGTCGATCCAGAAACCCCTATTTCTACTACTCCGTAATGCCCGTGCTTACTGGAATTATTCCTTTACAGTCCTCCGTAAGAGATCAAAAGGGAATAGGGTAAGATACATAGACCGAGCGAACCAATTACAATGCAGGTAGAGTCGACCCTATGCATGCATCAAAGGCCAAAGCCCAAAGCCCGCCGTCAGCCTTAGCCCTAACTCCAGCCACGCTCATACATGATACTCGCCACCTGCACGGCCTCCCATAAACCAGCCAGAGTCAAGTTTCCAATACTCTGTAATGCTCGGACGAAATCCATAGGGTTCCTTCCCATTCCGATACCAATGGCCTCGGACTGAAATCGGTCGCTAACGTTGTCCGTTGTAGAACTCACACCAACGTATCGTTCGCTGTTGTATTTCGCTGCGGGGAATGAAGATGCGGGTTTGATGTTTGATGCATTTATCGCTTATGCGCTTTAGGTTGGATGCATTCGATCGTCGTATGGAGTCTCGCGATACCTCAAGTATCTCGAGATCAATGTAGCAGCGGTGGGTGTGGACGACGCATAGGAGGGAGAGGAGACGGGCGCATCACGCCGCACATGGTACTCGGGTCGTCGAATGGCATTGTCTGGGCTTGTTCAATGTTAATATAGATAGAGTATGAGTGTTCGATTGATAAGTTCTTGCAGCATACCATACTAGTGTCTCTGTTCTCGTTTTAACATCTTATCTTATATACCCTAACCTATGTCAAGACGACAATACTAACGCTAACAACGCGCCGAAAACAATACGAAGACAATTCTTTACACATCTGTATAGCATGCTGCAACCCTGAAGGTTCAAGTGTAGCACATCGGATTCGGATGTGTCCAGATCCGCCGGGTTCTTTGTTTGAGCTGTGGAACTCGGGTGGACTGCGACCATTTGCTGTTTCGGGCCACAAAGATATGTTCAATGCGGACTGGGCGGATAAAGCATGATTCCTTGAAAGAGGGTAAGTCCGTTATTTGGATGGATCGGACGTGAACTTGATTGTCTGATGGACTTGCACGCGGGTGGCTCCGTGACCAGAATCTTGACGGGAGTTAGGGCTCCCGGCAGAGAACCAGCTCGCCAGGTACAGAGCGGCAGGTTGTATTGTGAGTTCTGTGCGAAATCTGAGATCCAACGGCGCCTGGAACTGTCAGTTCTTGAACCCTCGTCTTTATGCCGTGGCCGAGTTCGAGGTATATAGTACTTTGGGAGCCGAGGCTTCCTTCGGCATCTCAGTGCTAGGTAATAATGCGCTCAAACAGGCTGCACAAAGGCAGTGTTTGGTTCGAGGGGCAGCTTTCTTTCAGTATCTAGACAAGGTATCTCTTCACAATGCGCATCGGGACAAGAGTTCCATCCAACTGATTACAGTCACATCTTCCCAGTCGGCCTCTATCTCGTAGCCAGCAAGGTCGAGGGATAGACTTAATAGTGTTGTATATATAGATTAGTATTTGTATATGGAGAGATTTATTACCAAAACTCCGTACATGAAGCAAGGTCACCGACCTAGGGCCAGAAAAGTCACCTGACATGGCTATTATGGCCAATGTATATCTGCATACGGTAGAACAATCTACATGAGAAAGAAGTGACGCCAGGCGCCAAAGGTATTGAGCAGGCCTCCTTGCCACGGTCTACCCCATTCTACGAGCAAGGCAGCATACTTCAATTTCAGGTAAGAATGGCCCTCCCTCCTTTTGCTAGGCGGCTGCATCCTAGAAACGAGAACGGCTTAAAACGAAGTGCGAAATTCATGGTCTCATCTCGGGACACCATTCCAAGCGGTGCTCATCCAGGCTCTAATCCTAATAATCAAGAGCATCAGCCAAACAATCCTCCCTAATCCACAACTCCGGATTCCTCAGCAGGGGGTCCTCAAAAGTCCACTCCAGCGGGTCCAGATCCGGATCAAGCTGAAGGAAGAGCACATGGCCAGTGTCAGACGTCAAAGTCACAGTATTCTTATAGATGATGCCGGAGCGCTTCTTGTAGATGATGCCGGAGCGCTTCCCCTTGGCGCTTCGGTATTCAGGCGGAATATAAACGATTTTATGTTGTTTCCACATGATCCAACCCTCATCTACACTGATCCAATAGAAAGCTGACGACGACGGAACCCCGTCTGCAATCAAAAGCGTGATGTCTGACCAGCCGTCGTTGACTAAGATGGATAGACCGTCGTGTGCAATGGAGACTCCGTACAGCGTTGTTTCGAAGGGGAAGCATGCAATGAGGTCTGAGCTGTCGGTTCTCCAGACTCGGACGGTGTTGTCAGCTGATATGGCGGCAACAAGATTGTGGTCCTCCAGGAAGGAAGGCTGCCTGACCCAGTCATCGTGGCCTGTCAGGGTGCTTATGCATTTCCCCTCATTCATGTCCCAGATACGGACGTGGTGGCTCTCGTAGATGATTGCTACTGTCTTTGCCGTGTGAGAAGGATACAACTCTATAGGCTCTTCAAAGGCGTTTCTAGGGTCATCCGCTTGTCCGCATTCCACTCCACTCTCGATGTCGAAAGAATTGAGCCTCCCGGCCGACTTGAAAATTACAAGTGTGGTATCATTCGGCGCAAACCGCATCAGAGATATTTCGCGGTAACTGAGTGAGAAGTAGCGGCTGTGTTGGATATCATCTATATAAACGCAGGTACCAAAAGCCTGCCGCTCAGTGTAGGCAACCAGCCCGCTTCGCGAGCAAGCCACGATAGGGTCCCACATTTCGTGCCGGTGCAGGACTCGAGAGGCGCCCTCTACAAAGCCCAGGATCACCAGTTCAGGGGTTTCATGATGAGCTATTGCGGCCAGGTTCTCGCCATGACCTTTCAAGCTCACCCCCATGTCACTGCTCGGCCGTGGCCCGCGGGATATTTTGCTGTTCTGATAATCCCATAGGTGACAGGTTGATGTAATGACCTTAGAGTTCTGGGGCGAGATCCTAGCGTGAAAAGGCTGATCATCGACAAGACCGGGTGTATCTGCGATCTGACAGCTACTGAGCCTCTGTCCTGTGCTGATATTCCATACCTCCAGTTTGTCATCCGTACCAACCGTGACCACTGCCAAAAGTTCGTTGTGCTCGGAAAGCTGCATGTCTAGCAGACTCGCTGTTTTGGCAAATGGTTCGGGCAGTAAATCTTCTCCGGTAGTAGAATCAAATATCTTAAACATGCCAGTGCGCAGTCTGCACGCAAACAGCGCATCATCAGCGCTAAACCTTAGGCCTGGCAATAGATCAATCTCCGCAATTGTGCGAAAACAAGTACCAGTCACAGCGTCCCAAAGGCGTGCCTTACTATCGTAGGTAGAACAGGCAAGAGTTGTACCGTGTGGTGACCAGACGACACTATGGACCACGTTCGAGTTTGCATCTAGAGTGTGAAGAACGGATCCATCGTCACTGGACCAGATTTCGACAATGTCACCGCGCTCCGGATGGATGGATGCAACCAATGTACCGTCGGGCGAAAATGGGTTTTCGAGGCCAAGGGGTAGGTATCCCTTTTTCCTAACCAGACTGCATCTCTGCGAAGCATGCCATGTTTGCAACCAGGTCCCTTCCATGCTTGATAGTACTCTCTCCCCATTCGAGGAAACATAAACTTCTTTAGCCTTAGTTGCAAGGTCACCCAAAGTCTGCCAATTCTGTGATTTCAATTCGAACACCCTCAGAGTCAAGTCTGCACAACCGGCCGCCATCCTTGTCACACAGGCGTCGAACGCCCAGCAAGCCAGTTGCAGTTTGTTCATCGGAATTTTCAGTGACTCGCGAGCGTTTGGTTTCCACACAGTGATCTTGCTTTCCTCGCCAAAAAGGACCGCAGAATGGATTGAAGGGGATCCCATGAGTGAAGATAAATTTTCAGGTATGTCCGAGATAGGGTTACATTTCCCCGCCACGGTATCCCATATCCGCAGTTGGGATGGCTCGTTGGGATTAAAACATACCACCGCACTGCCGTCAGATGTTTGTTGTATCTGCCCAGTGGGGGAAACCGTGCCTTGCAGGGAAATCCGGTGTTTGTCGGTGTGTATATCCCGCACATGGTCAACATCATCCAGCATGGAAATGGTTAGTTTGGAGTTCCTCGCAGCTTGCAGCCATGATATACGTCTGATAGAAGAAGTCGCTTCATCTCTTTCTCCTGTACAAATGCTGAAGACCTGGGCGAGATCATGCGGTCCCAGAACCCCAAGCATGTCATTGCCTGGTGAGAAGACGAGAGCACATGCTTTGTCAATAACGGCGGCTTTGAGAGCATACTGAGCTGTGCTTAAGGCCAGGGCATAGACGCTACCGGACAGCATATAAGCAAGCAAGCTTCCATCCGGAGAGAATGAGAGACCTGACATACCACCCTTGGTGCATTGTATGGTTCGAACCCAGCGCCCAGCTTCTGTGTCTAAGATTCGCAATTCACTATGCGTGGTGAAGCATGCAATATTCCTGCCATCACCGGAGATGGCAAGGTTCGTTGTCTCACCAAAGTTGCTCGCCAACTCTTGCAGACAAGACGCGCTCACAGTATCCCAGATTGCCAGGTTTCCGCGTTGATCCACAGAGGCCATTAGGTTGGAGTCACGGGCGTACTTCACTATACAGATCGAATCATTATGCGAAAATTCACCTTCGTTGTTGTTGACATTTCGAGGCTCATAGATAGACGTTCCCCGGCCTGTAGTATGATAAATCCGGTCTCCATTCGGAGTCAGGAAACCGACGCCTGAACGATCCGCAATGTCATTCATTACACTCAGACAATCTCCTGTATCGACTTCCCATATTCGGGCCGTGAAATCGTATGAGTTGGAGATAAGCTTTCGTCCACTTCCTGAAAACTGTATGGAGACCACTTTGCCTCGATGCCCTTCCAAAGTTTTCACAGGGTCCGCTGCAACCGTGTCCCACAGTTTGATTAGGTTGTCCTCGGCGTAAGCAAGTATATCTTTCTCTGGGGACAATTTCATGTAGCCCGTGCTCGACCCGAGAATATGGAGACATGTTCCCAGTACCGAGTCCCACACTCGGATCGTCTGGTCATCCGATTGGGACACAATCATTCGGTTACCTTGGAGAAAACTACTCTGTCGTACTGGACCTGCATGCCCATGAAACGTGCGAGTCAGGTTGCCGTTTGTTGTATCCCATGTTCGCACCGTTGCGTCCAGTGACGAAGAAACTATGTGCTTGGCGTCAGATGAAAATTCGGCGTGCCAGACAGCATCATTGTGGCCCTCAAGGGTATGACGGCGGATGCCATTCTGAGTATCCCAGATTGTCAGAGAGCCACTCCGGTAAATTATAAGCACTGCTTTACCATCTTCGTCGAACGCTGCATATCTAATATCGGGCGAATCCAGTTTCTCCAGAGTGTGCATACACACTGCAAGTCTGTTATCCCAGATTCTCACTGTTTTAAAGGCGGTCACTAAGAGCAATGATCCGTCCTTGGAGAATGACATGCATCCGGGCTCCTCATCACCATCGAAGATACTGATACAGCGCCCTGTTGTAATCTCACGAATCTCGATCGTGCCAGACTGGGTCGTTTCGAAAGCAACGACGTCCGCCGAGGGCGATACGACCAGTCCTCTTGCGCAAGCCCACGTCTGCTCGCAAGGGCTCCATGTCGATGGTAATGGACCTGATTGCACTACTGCACCTCGTAATAGACATGGGATAGCCTGGCTTACGAAGCTTTCTCCGGGGCCAAACCAGGGCGTACTGTGATACATTTGCAGTGGCGCAATTTCTAGAAGTGACCGATGGCGCATGAGATATCGATACATGTCATACAATCCCTCTCCGAGTGAGGAGTCAATAGTAAGCTAGCTTCAGCATCAGCACAGAACGAGAGGTTGGTTAGCAGGTCATACAGTTTTCAGCCTTCGAAGAGCCAGAATCATGTGTATTCCAAGGTACACATCTCCCATGATAGCTAGAGCTTCAACCCACTGGTGAAATCGCGATTGGAAAAAGTTTCGCACCACGTTCGGATTGGTCCCGCCAGACTGGCAAAGATGGTAGACCCAATTGCGGCAAGCATAGGAAGTCTCGAGTCGGACGTACTTCGCGAGCCTCGCATCGTCCTTGCCATCTATGGAGTAGCCCGGAAACTGCAGACGACACATGTCAGTAGTCAAGCACTGCTGCATATTGCGCATACAGTTGTGCGCCAGGAAGCGATGCAGATCATCGGCCTGTAATCGAAACCTCATATCCGTACATCTGTTCGGATTGAGGAGAAAGTCGCGGAACGAAGGATGGAGCAGATATATCGGCTCGGTATTGTCTCCTGGAACATGCAGGGCCGAGTGGAGGTTGTGGAGAACACTCGCGATGACCGACTCATCTACTGCCAGAAGCCCTGATAGAGCGGCGGTGGAGAATTGTGTTCTGAGCAATACAATCGAGCCGATGACTCTTTTGAAGAGGAACTCGTCTCCAATGTATGAGTGTTTTAGTATGGTTAGGTACATCTCATCGAGCGCAGCTGTTGGCGAATGCCCATTCTCGGACGAGCTCTCTTCGAGGAGCATTTTGAGTGCACGTTGTGGTATTGGCGACTCATATATGAAGCGGCAAACTGTCTTCGCGTAGATGAACAGTGATCCGGCATTCGTGGACAGTGTCTCGACGACTCTGTCCGATGAGGCGGGCCAGCTGTCTGGAAGGCCATGTCTGGACCTGACTTTCTCAAGTTCGTCTTCAATCAGTAGAGAGATATCCTGCTTTACAACTGCGTCGTCCATGTCGAACAGATCAAACTCGCGGTGGAAGTGACTTCGCGATTGAAGGAAGCCGCGACGTACTGCTCTTTCCGGCCGACCAGTGATCAGCACTCGCAGTCGGAACTTGGACTTGACGCTCGCAAGCATCGTCAAGAGCTGAGGGATTATCTCAATATCTTCTTCGCGATCACATTCATCGAGAGCGTCGATCACGAATACAAGCGGAGAGGCATCGTCGCCCGCCAATTTACGGACAGGCTCGACTATCAGCCGACGGCATTGCTCAGCAAGACTTCTTTGAGCTATATCCTCATCCTCCATTACTGCCTCGCAGATATGCTGCTTCAGCTCAGTGTCTTTTCTTGCCAGCTGGGCAGCTAGTGTGGCTATGAGCTTCCCAGCGTGGCCACGGTCACCTGCTCCTCGAGAGAAGAAGAAACTCCCCGCAAGACAGCCTTGTTCATGAAACCGACCGGCCACGGTCCGAGCGATAGTAGACTTTCCAGTTCCTGCCATTCCCTTTAACCAGCAGATTGTCTCGCTTCCGGGGTTTTCACTCCAAGCAACCAGCTTCTGAAGAGCTTCAGTACGCGTACCGGGTAGACACAATGCTTCATGTTCTTGTGAGCGAGAGTCAAACGCCGCATCAACGGCGCGAGGCAGCTTCTCGAGGTGTCGATTTCGTTCAGCTCGGTTGACTGTTTGCGCTGTGGTCAGGCTTTGCGAGCTGGAAGACTCAGCAGGAGAACCACCAATCGAGAGCCATACTCACAAGTTGTCCATCAAGAGCGCCATGCTCAGCGTACTCTTCCAATCGGTGACACGCTGAAGGGTCTCGCTGACCTCTTCCTTTGTGAAAGGCCATTTCAGAGCCCTGAGACCGATTTTCCGCATTGGATTGCTTCCCTTTCCCTTCAAACGAGTTTCCAACTCTCGGAGTGCGACCTCGCTGTTCTCAACGAGACGGCGCGAGGCGCGGAGTGCCTCCAAGTTATCATCTTTTGTCGTCTCGGCGAGCTCCCGGAGCTTTTGGACGATCTGAATGTAGGCCTCGATGCCGTCCTTCAGCAGCTGGATGTCTTCAGCGGCATGACGAACATTCCGGACGTACTTGTTGCAGGCGCCGATTATAGCTGTCGAGATCTGGATGACAGCGATAGCACTCGCAGCAGTTTCCATGTCGTGCCAATCCGCTCCTGTAGTCGGCTTCGTTTCGGTCGGAGGCCATCGGCAAAGGTGCAATGCTTCTGGTCAACAGGCCCACTGATTTGGCCAGACAGGACCTTCAAGTAAAAGAGGAGGTTGTGATTGCGATTCACCCTCTCTTCTCGTCTCATGTCATCGCTAGAAAAGATGACCCGGTTGGAAAGGTGAGCGCCGACTGCCACGGCTGAGGCTGCGTCCCAGCCCAGTGCGGGGTATGCCCAGACGTGTGTACGACAATGCTGCGAGTGCCAATTGGCCAGCATTGAGGTGATATATCGTATGGCCATGGCCGGATTTATTGGAGGCCGGTTGTGATGCTTCAGATCTCACAAAAACGCGCAATGCCATAGTTGTAGGAGTGGAAGTCAAGGTGCGGGCTGTCGGGCTGGCGGACGTGTACCGTACTCGATACCGGCGGCCTTCGAAGGTCTACATGGGTAGGCATATAAGCTGCTGACCCTGAGCATGGGGAGTAGAACGCAAGAAGAAAGAGGCATATCGATTGAGTGGAAAGAGTTGAAGCTAGCAAAGACGAGGCGATCGGGAAACTGTGTAGGCGGCGCTAACCGGAAACAGCGGCCAGAGGTCTTGCATCCGAGACAGGAAAGTGCAGTGGGAAGCCCGGAGGCAGCAAACCACGGGAGAAACCCAATCCAAACACACCGAATGTGAAGCCCGACTTGACCATCATGTCATCTGGTTGAGTACAATGTACATAACAGATATTCACCCTGGGTCCACCGAAACAGAAACAAAAACAAAAAAAGAAATGCTTCCAACGAGAATCGAACTCGTGTTTTCGGATATCCCTTGTAGAAGGGTCATACAATATGAGACCGACGTCCTAACCACTAGACTATGGAAACTTGTTGAAAATGGCGGCGGATTTTTGTTATCATGATCGGCAACCTCAGTAGCACAGACTGTAGTCCAACCCCTGTGTCCCTAGCGTGTTTTTACCTCAGAGTAGACAGCCTACAATCACTCTTCCATCTTCCAACTACGCCTCCGCCCTATATCCCACCATCGCATCCGCCATGTTCCATACTAATGATCATCGCAGTATTTGTCAACCCTCCCAAACCCCCGGGACCATGGTCCATGGGCATGAAGCACTCGCCGCCGATCGCGACCCGCGGAGATTCGCCGAAATATACAATCACAGCCTTGCCCCTTCCCAAACTCTGCTGTCCTCTGGGCCGTTTCACAACAAGCCCTAGGGAACTTTACCGCTCCCGCTTTTACTGCAGTTGGATGCGCTCCACCACGGGATGCGGTCCAGACTTCAGCCCCTAGCCCTCTGGGTCTGGGTCTGGGTCTGGGTCGGTTGTGCCCGTGACAGTGCGTCGACCGTGGTCCGGCGTAGAAGTTAGAACTAGACAGCATCGAACTGGTTGCTGTACAAGCTGAGGTGCAAGATATATAAACGCGGTGTTTGCCCCATTTCCTACTCTCATCAGACCCCGGAGTCAGTGGCGTAGGTATACTAGTAGGCTAGCTTGATGATCCACCGCCGGCCTGTCGATCGGCATATCAGCATGCTTTACTAGTATACACTACCGCAATGTCAGTTGGTAAACAGAAGGATGCCAAGATAGAGCGCCTTGTCGTATGGATCGGAGGTTGCAAGGTATCTGCGTAGGTTGGTTGTAAAGTTAGGAACCATGAATCGCAGTGCCAGACAGTCGAAGTGGAACGGAGACGATCATATTCCATGATCCCACGGCACCTGTCCCGTGCATATCCTCAAGATTCCACTTCCACGGCTCTTCCCAGGCCCCGGGCACGGCCAGCTCTGAGTCCCTGACCCCTGGATCCTTCGGCACCTATCCGGCACCGGGACCGGTCGTCGGATGTCGGTATACCGTGCAGGAAACTGCAAGATCGTGCTCATCGCTTTAGATCAACAATTAAATCCTTACCTGCAAGAAATCAGCCCTATAGACTCGAACTCGGAATTAAAAGGATCAATTAAGAAAACGCCACACGCACGACATGTGCTATTTTGAGAATTTGCCACGTTCTTCTTTGGCTGGGGTTGAGTTGCAACGGTTGCATACTACAGCGCACTAGACAGCCGACTAGCAGTGCTAGCTTGACAAGCACACCACTAGTCGGGTCACGTCTCCTTGAAATCTTGTCGCCTGGCAGGCTAGCCCTGCGGTCTGCACTATCCAAGTCCGGCAGCCTAGCACTCGCAATTCCGATAGCCGCAGCGCTAGAAAAAGGATAGGGGAGAGAGACTGATTCTCGGAGGAAAATAAGCTTCAGCAGGAGATGTCGTTGAATGTTCCTAACCCACCGCGTCCCAGCAACCAGAACCGTGGAAATTGCATCGGCCCCGGTGCTGCTTTGAGTAAAGCCAGAAAGTTCTAGCCTAGAGATCGACGCGCCACTGCCACCAGTCAGGTTTGACAGACGGTAAAGGCTGGCCTGAAGAGGATACCGGTGGCGGCGTTCGGAAATAGGCCGTCTTATGTACGGAGTCTAGTGCTCTGTCCAGCGTACTATAATGATGTGTCGGCTGATCCCTGCTCTCATCCTATCGCGAAGCGAACTGTGCGATGTCCCACGTACGGAGTAAAACCTGCTCTGTGCCACTGCCCCCTGCTCCGATCAGCTAATCGGCTCACGCCGTCATGAGGACACCTGCCGAACAGGATCAGCATGATCGTCCGCGAAAGCAGGGTGCGGCTAGTCATGCGTAGTAAATCCCAGTTCTCTGGGTCTGCTTTCTGATGTGGCGTTCAGTGTAGGTAGCGCAGTCTTTGACTCTAAGGTCTGTACAGGAGATGTTTGTAGACAGAAAGGAATATGTATGTAGGCTGTGGCTGCCCCGAGAGACAAAGAAGAAAGCAAATCTATATACAAGAAACAAACAGGAGATGTCACATAAACCGCCTGCAAGGAAGAAAAAGGGTAAAAGGATGAAACGGATCCGCTCATAGAACTCGTCACCAAATTGGGTATATCTGCTCGCAGTTCGACTCAAAAGAAGGAAGCGAAGGTAAAGGATATCGACGGAGAAGCAAGAAAGCTTGACGATCGAATAAGTATAAACCGTGATTTTGTAAGTGGACAAGGGGCCGCCGAGTTATGAGTCAAGGAGAGTATGAGGTTGGGGCATCAATTAAACCATGTAAGGTATAAGTCGGGCATAAGGTAGTGCGTAAAAAGAATGGACGAAGCGAAGGAATGTGGCGTAGCTGGATAAGATGGCGTCTATCTTCCCCATCTCCTCACTGGGACAGGGGGAGACAGCTTGCCTGTCGGCGGTAGAGAGTCCGCGCTTGACCGGCCGCTGCCTTCACCATTCTCAGGATATGCGGGCTCGGACGTGATCTCGATGGTGGTATGCTGGTACACCTTTCCGATCGGAGTCAGTTCGACATCGCCGCCCGTGTTCTTGACAATGTCGTCCGTCGAGCCATCTCGGCTCTGCTCCTCGTCGTCGCCGCCCTTGTAGGTGTGAAGAGCACTGATGTCCGTCCGCATGTGCTTCGGGTCCGTGGTGCTGCCGAGTTTGTTCTTGCCGCTGGGGAATTTGTGGTAGCTCTGGTCCATGCTAGGCTCGGATTCGATAATCAGGTTCTTTCGGGTGAGCGTGTAAAGCAGGACATCGACCAGACCAGAACTTGTAATCATCGCACCAGCAACACAGAAGTAAACGATGCCCGGGGTGTCTCCTCGTGCCGTTGCCATACGTCCTGCTGCCAGAGGAAGAGACAGGACGATGTAAGCGATTGGGTATATAACCATGTATCCGACAACGCGACGAAGGCGCTTTAGACTCTCGATATGGCTGCTTCCTAGAATCGCAGACTGCTTGATACGTCGACGGAGTTGGAACCATAGGATAGCGTATAGTGAAACCGTGCCAAACTCGGCGAAGAAAATCCAGAAATAATGCGTGCCAAGTCGGATGGGTTCGTACTTTTCACTAATCCAACACTATGCAATGTCAGTCGTGAGCGCAGAAAGAGCAAGATGCGGGGAAAACATACCCAAGCCCCAGCGGGGACGAAGACATCCTTTCCATGAGACCCGAGTGGGATAATGACAAGGACTGCAACCAACACCCAAATGCCAATCACAATCGTAACAAAGGCTCGGTAGCTCAGCTTCTTTCCTAAGGCGACGACGTAAAAGGTATGAAAGGCGATGGCGAGCACGAAAATTCCACTGGCTGGGTCTCCGACTTGGAGCCAGAATCCTTGGAGAAAGCAGGCGGCTGTATTTGCTTCGATTTTATTTTCCGCGTACCACTTGGCACATATCAAGAAAGCGAGTGACTGCTGGATATCCGCGATAACCAGGTTGTAGATGAGGACGACATACTGATTGTAACCGATGTATCGTTGATAGCTTCCGCGCCAGAAAACCAGTCGCCAGGTAATGAACGAAATCAACATGAGAGTAGCGATCGTGGAAAGAATGGCCATGATAAAGACAGCCACTAGGCCCCTGCGATGATCTGCCGGTAGGGGATCAATACTCTCCCCCGAACCATTATCACCCGTCGTATAGGACAATCTCGGGAGGAGGGAGTGGCTGCCGTCATCGCCGGCGGTTAAAGAGTGTAACACCTTGAAAAGGCTCATTGTGAATCGTCTAGTATGGCGTAGTGCTTAGAAGTGCCGCAAGCATCATTCGATGGTGGGCTCGTCGAGGTCGCTGTACTCCTGCACCCGGGCAAGAAGTCGCGCTTCGGGATGATGTGTCGGGGGACGATCGAGTATTTGAGGAGATAACAGTTGGAACAGATGTGCAGATTCTGTCGATAAGCTTGGTTTGCCCTCTGATCCTATCCCTTTCTTCTGTCGAGGGGTTCGAGAAATTATCCACTTTCACAGAAAGTAAAGTTAAAACGGGAGCGAGGGCAGGAATAATAATATGAGCTGCAGAGTTTGAAGGATCAAAAGGGACAAGGTAGCGAAGATGCTAACTGACGTATAGAAGCAAAGCTTAAGCCTGGGGCGAGATTTGAGTTGGCGCCATGCGCCGCGCAGACAACAAGCCCACGTAGTGTACCAAATTTCAGACAGCAGTGGAGTAGATTCGGATTCCAGAGGCGTGAACGGCTGAGTCCGACAGGAGATGGACCCAACGATCAGACAGGGGGAGGCTCAGGGAGCGAATGAGAAGGACCGGAGAATGGGGGAAATGGGTACCTCATCTGGAAGGTGGCAGCGGAGCGGCAGAGCGAGTCGCTGCACTGCCGACTTGATATTGTTGCTGACCTGCTGCTATATAATCACTGAGGGCGAGACCAAATCAAAAGTACCTACGGAGTACACTGAAGTGTTAAGGGGTGCAGGTCTTCGACCCCTCTCGATGGAGTTGGAACCCGGCTTATACTTTGAATGATAAGGACAGCCGCAGCGAGACCCCTGTCAAGGATGACGCCGTCGGGGCTCGTGTGAGCTCGCCATCGCTGCCAAGCATGTTGATTCGATGCCCAGCGCTGAGGCGCGAGGGTCGGAAGCTTGCCTGGGCTTTGCATGATCATCCAAGACTCAACTTGCGTGTAACCCCACAGACAGGGAGATGGAAGATTGACCCGGCCACGAGCTAGCATGGCAATCCAGGATCTTCTCTCCTTTCTCTCCAATCAAACGGTCGTCAATCCAGCCAAGTGCGGCGTGATTCCCGAGCCCACAGCGGCCCACATCCCCGCCGATCGGTCAGATTCTGGAGCAAATCCCGGATAACGTCCTCTTTCAGGACAAGTGGCTGGAAGATCTCCGCTCATCTGCTCAAAGGGGCATTTTCGTACGCAGACTATACTCTTTCTCGAAGGACGATCAGTGCGCTTCTGGTCAGCACGGCTGCCAAAGGGCCTCTCTCTGGTCCGACAGCGTCCATCTTCATCAGCGTTATTCAGCCTCTCGAGAGTCCAGTGCCAACCGCCATGAACCGTGGGACAGTTCTCGAGTAATCTCATTCGCCTCCTACGATGCCCTTGTGAGTACGAGGTCATCCTGAAACTTCGATGGCGCGAGAGCCAGGTCGCGAGGTGGACAGTGCGGAACCCATGTGATGTAAGCGGCAAGCATCGTTTTGAGATTGTGGAATATGACAGCCTCAGTTCCCAAGAATTGGCAGTGACAGATCTCGGATGTTTCATGGTTGACACTTGGGTGGTTATCAATCTAGACAGTTCCGGGTGCCGTTCTCTCCGTAACAATCGATGACAGGAGCAAGTTGGAGCCGGCCAGATGATTGTTCAGTTCGGAATAGATAGAGGATCAAAAAGAGCTGACGCCGCCGAGTTAGCTGGTTTGAGGTTGATGGGCGATAGATTAACAGTGAACGCAGAGCAGAGACCTCGGCCCGTCGGCGGTTGCAGGAACAACGGTTTCTCCGGCTGCTCCGGTTCCTCCCCTCAGCTCCCTTGGTCTTCGCTCTTGAAGTTGAAACAACAATTCGACTTTCATACTTTGGTTCCTCACGGTGCGCCCGTGTAAGAAGACCGGTGCTCGATGCGAGTCAGTCCCAGCGGTATACTCTTGCTAATGCTACTACGCTAGAGTCTACTCACTAGTCGCTTCTGCCTCACCAATGACACCGCGATGATCGAGCCGGACTCTCGACTACGCCGTATTCTTCAACCCCGCACGAGCCCGGCGGTCTGAACGGTTTCTATCCCGTGCGGGGACGGATATTGTGGCGCTGGGGTGGAATAAAACCATGGGCGACCGAAGGATTTGAGACTTAAGGTCAATGGTCATGTTGCTGGCCATCACTCGCTCTCCGTCGGTATACCTACGCACACTGCCGTACTGCGAACACGTGGATATCGCAGATCCAGTTCTTCTGGATTTGGAACTCGGGCTGGACGGTCAACCCATGGTTCAGTTGTGGATAGCGTTTCCGCCCCTTGGTTTCACCGTCACATCCTTCAGAGCTTCAACTGCCCTCAACGCCATCGTCCCATCCTTTGACCTTTCCAGGATATCTCCTCGTGTATAATCCCGAACCAGATAATGCTGTAAAGGGACCCTCGGAGCATGATTCGCTAGCACTTCGCAGAATCCTGGCCTCTGTCGCGACCGTCGATTCGCCCGTTTCCAGTGCCTATCGACGAACGGGTTACACCGCATAAGACGGTCGTCGGTTGCCTTCTCTGCTCTGGTATAAAGGCACTCTGCTTCAGTCTCGATATTCGCATAATATCGCACCGGACATTGCACGGCTTCCATAAGGTGTTGGCGAAGGGGTACAATACCTTGATACGTCGTTTGCGCGGAATATACCCAGACATAATCGTCCGTCGACTCCATGGTTCTCAAACTCACTGCCGTACCTTGCGCGTCGGTCTATTTGGTCACTTACTCGTATCTACGCCGATCTCACTCCCTTCTAGTTTCTATTTTCTACCGATGACCCGGTATCTAAATCAACTGTTCGCAGTAATCACTTGCACATCCTCCAAGCCTCCGTTAATCACCCAGTCTGCTTCCCTGCTCATGAACAGAGGTCGAAATTAATCGCTTGGCACCCCAAATTGCCAATCCTGCCAAGGTCAAGGCAAGAGGCTTGATCGCGAGATCCATCGATACTGATAGCCTGCCCTGGTCTGGGCACTGGGCATTGTGGACTCCAAACGCCACGGCCGCCATCTCCGGAGTCCGCTGGCCCTGGATCTTTTAGCGCAGTGCCCATAGCTCAGACCCTAGAGTCCTATGCAATAATATCACGAGCCAACGTTAGCGAATGCGGGGAACGTGCTACATTACCGAGTGCATGGATACAACCCCTGGTTTTTGAATCCGATTCTGAAGCGTGGTGTACCGTGCGCAGTGTATACCGTGCACGCCCCCAATCTTGTCCGTCCCTGCGCCCCGATGGGGCAATATCGCCTTGGACGCCTGAACTAGGACTAATCGCGGTACTGCGCGGGTGTCTCGACACTGCCTCTTACGTACCGATATTTACCTGTTGGCGGCAGTGGGAGCGTTGACTCGAGCAGCGCTGCATCGACCAAACGCGAAACGGCGGACAAGGCGAATTGTCTCATCCACTGCTTCGTGAACGCCTTACTCCATTTTTGGGATACCATTCCCGCCAATTCCCTTGTGCGTCCGCATTGCAGTTATTATCAATACACAGTGGCTATTGTTGATGTACCCCGTGGATAGATGTGCAGAATCCAGCCCGGATGAAGTGACAGGTAAGCACGGATGGTCTATTTTCTAGCTAGCCAGCGCTCTTCCAACTCTCACAAGCCTGCATGCTAGCGCTCTGATAGATATATATACCAGAGAGGCGATGCCACAACCCCTCTTCTACTTGACCCCGGACTACACCATCGTACGCACTAAGTTACTCAAGGTTAGGATGAACCCTACGTCGAGCTCCAGGGAAACGAAACGAAACATGCGCAGGGCGAGTCTAAAGTACAGTCGAGAGCTCTGCGCACTTTTCAAGGACGAGCATCCTATCGCCGCTACAAAGACATTCAGCAGCAATATAGCAGAATTCATTTTCTTCCAGCTATCTATCAGCGGCGCGTGCATGGACATAAAAGAACGTGGACGAACCTTGCAAAGCAAAGCAAAGCAACCTATATTCCCAAGTCTAGATAGCTATGAACTGAACTAGGTGAAACAACCAGACGAAGGCAGCGCAGAGATTGGAAGAGGCGTATTAGCTTGGGTATACAATTTATCTAGGTATCGGCCGTGGCAATCAAGCACGAACAATCACAGTCACAACCAGAGGTCAAAGAAATGCAATGCAATAGAAAGCGAAGGCGAATGCGGGAAGCAAAGATCCAAGACCCAGGCCGGGCCAGCCTAGACATAACTGGAGATGAATATCATAGAGTAGATAAAAGCAAGCAAAACAGGGGGATCAATGTACGACAATATGCCTGCGTCAGCTTCCAACCTTGCTTCAAAGTTCAACCGGCTCGCATTGCTTTGCTTCAGTCCACCTGCAATTCAGCGCTATACCTACAAACACGCGATGCGATGCAATGCGATCAACCAATGCTCGTAAGCCAACGCTGGGTATATAGAGTAAAATGGGAAGATATTCATGTTCATTTTCATTTTCATTTCGTGCTGGCTCTCATTCATGGATGGACGTTGTGCAATGTAATGTGTATGGCGTGGACTCAATTCGTCTTCGTCGTCAAGTGTCGTAACGTAACGCTGCTGATGATGGATAACAAGCAAAACAGGAATAATCACAATGGGGTAAGGTGGGATGATGTATGATGTATCAACAAGATGCAAATCGGCAATATGGACATGGACTAGTCTCGGATATCTCAGGTTTAGCTGATGTATCCTGAGTTCGAGGCTTGCTGAATGGTGAAGAGGCTGTTGCTCATCGTCGCCTGGAGTTCCGACTATCCCTTCGCGCGATAGGCTCCCCGTCTTCGCCCTCATCTTCCTCTTCCACGGGCGCAGGGGTACGGCGCTCAGTACGCCTCTTCGGGCGGCGCCGGCGATTAGAGCTAATATTACTCGCCGAGTCATCCGGCGCAAGAGAGTACGTATCGTCGAGGAAATCATCGTCCGTACCGCTTTCCCACGGATACTGAGAGGCCGGAGTGCCAAGGCGCGCTTCAACGAATGTGCCGCGACGGTTCTGGTTGGCGATGGACAGTCCAGCGCCGCGCTCACGCAGGGCAAGACGCACAGCTTCCGCTTTGCAATGCAGCGCCTCAAATGCGTCTTCGAGTGCCTCCATCCCAGCGTAGATCTCTCGCTCGACTTCGGCCAGCGCCGCAATCTCCATCTCCTCGTCGAGAGCGATCGGACCGCCGAATGAGCCGGGGGAGCCGGGACCGCCGTAGGGCTGGCTCATTGGGCGGTCGAGCGGGCTGGGTGTTGGGCCGCGGGACATTCGGCCGCCGGCGGCGCTGAACGGAGTGTTTGAGCGGCTGGCGCTCCATCGGGTGGGCGTGCCGTTGGGGAGGGAATCCTCTGCTCCGCTGCGGAGAAACCCGTCGAAGCGGCCTGAGATCAGGATATCCCATTCGTCGTCACTGATGGCTGCAAGAGTGGCTAAGACGTGGTGAATTCCGGGGTTATTCAGCATGTACATCGCGGTTTCGGGGTCCCGAGGTCGAGATGACAGGCGGTACAGTCGTTGGATCGCATAGGATGAAGAAACCAGAGCATCGGGCCGTTCCCGAGGCTTCCCGTCTGGCCGCGGAGTCGGCGATGTGGATGAAATCCCAAGCAGGGCCCGGAAGATCGGTCTTTGCTCTGTTCCGAGATGGGTTAACATGGCGAAGGTCAGCGTCTCATCGTCTACCTCCTCCGGCGCACTTGTAGGCTGCTCGACCTGCTCCGTCAGCCACCTGTCCACGGCGAGTTTCGTCTTGCGGGACTGCCGGAGGAAATGGTCGCGGTACTCTTCCGGGACGTCAATGTCCATTTTCTGCATCGGAATGTGTTCTTCACCAGACACCTCAGCAGCACCCAACTCGGTTGTGAGTATAAATGGCGGCCAGCTAGGAAGCTCCCGACGGCCGGAAACTAGCTCCAACACTTCACCCCAGCTAACACCTGACGGGATATCCTCCAGCTCATCATGCTCACACATCAAGCATCGGCACGATTCCGAAGAGATGTCGCGTGCAAAAACGGCTTCTAGTCGGTCGAGCAGGCGACGAGCCACGGAACGAGACCCGGTGGCTACCGCGAGCGAACCACTCTTATTTACAACAGTCTGGTAGTCATCTAGAAGGCGGCTGAAAGGCTCGAAAACTCTACTAGCCGCAAGGTGAGGCTGGACCTGTGGTTGATCACCGAAGACTGTGTTCAGAAGCAGAGACTTAGGCACCTGGTGCTCCAACCCTCCGTTCTGAAGAAGATAATCAACACGCGGGTTCGAAACAGGGACATCTGGCGGAGGCGGGGGCGGGGGCGGCGTGCCGTACGTGGAGCCGACGGTTGGCGGACGTCCATACTCCATCGCAATCTCAAAAGGCGTGCGGTTGCGGTTTGCGGATGCCGGACGATTCGACATGGCAGAGCGCGTCTGGTTGCGCGACGGCGGCTTCTCGGGGCTTTTGACTCTGTGAGGGGACTGGCGAGGAGCCGCAATAGTTGCGTCGGAGCCGTTAGCAGAGCCCGAACCTGCATCTCGGACGGTTGGCGGAGAGCGAGGAGGAGAGACGGTGGGGGTTCGTTTCCGTTCCGAATCGAGTTTTGACTTGGAAGGCTTGTGGGACGGAGTCTCTTTGCTATGACTTGAACGTTTCGACGTTGACTTGGGGGTCTCCGGTCGCACGGTAGCCTTGCTCGACTTGCTGCCATCGTCCTTCTTTGCGCGTAGACTTGATGATGAGCGGTTCAAGTCTGTCTTGATTCTGATCTTAGTCTTTTCCTTCGGCTTCTCAGTTTTCTCTCCCTTGTCGTCGACAGTACTTCCCTTGCGCGAGTGCTGATCCACGCTCGTCAACGGGGGACTCGGGGGCGCATGTTGACTATCATGGCGCTGATGTTTGCTATCCTCCTTATCGTCATCATCCCGATCCTGCTCGGTCAAATCGGTCGGATCCGGTGTAGGGACGCCCGGCTTGCCAACGGCCTCCCTGCTATGAGCCTTCGAAAACGTGGGGTACGGTAAGCTCGTTCTCGACTCGAGGAAGGACGCCGTGCCGGAGCGGCTAGCGCTGTCGAGGCCGGGCATAGAGGACCGACGTTGTTTGCGGGACTTGGGAGCGGAGGCGGCAGGGGTAGAGGCACGGACCGGTGGTTCGGGGTCGTCCGGGTCCTTGGTCGAGGGACGGCTAGATTGTTTCTGGGACGAGGAACGGTGTTGGCGGTGTTTTTGTTTAAGCGAGGTAGATGACGATGATGAAAGCTTCCTATTCCGTTCTCGGTCATTTAGTCTCAGGGGCAGAAACATGGCGGATAAAGGTGAGGTGAGGTGAGGTGAGGTTCGTGGGATGCAAGGCGAGAGAAGACGACGACCACGGCCGGGGAAGTCTTCCCTGCTCCGATTTCGTTTTGTGACGTTTTCTAGTTACCTCGTAGTTGTAAATGGGGTGCTAATCTGAGTCGGACAATGCGTCGACAAAAAGCAGGCAATCAATTGCAGGGTCTGGAGACGTCGTCGAAGCGGACCGCGGAGGTCGTGTTGTCGGTACGTTGGGTCGGTCGTCTGGCGCTTAGGCGAGGTAAGGATCGCAGATCTGAGTGGTTGGGTTCGTAACTCGGCGCTTATGTCACTGGGTCACCAACAGCTATTTTAGGAGTCATGCGACATGCCGTCGCTCATGAAGTAGAAAAAGCAAGTAGTCTGGGACAAGGAAGGAACCAGGAACCAGCGAATTCGAAATGATGGATGGTTGACGAGGGAGGCTGGTGGAGGATTTTGCGGTGAGTAAGGTAGCGTAGGGCCCAGGCTGATCCCCGCTGAGACCCGTTTAATCGCGAAATGGCGACGTCTAGTTCGATGGGCGGTTCAAGGCAGACGGCTCGGTGGGTGCTGTGGAGCGACCTGGTGCACCGTGCTGCATGGAAGCCTAACGAAGCCGCTGGATCGAGTTCTAGAGAATGGAATTGAGCAAGAGAGTTGATCAGCTCAAGATGGAGGATGAAGTTGGAAAGAAGGGGAGAGTTGGACGAAGATGTTTGCTGGTGAGGTTGTGTTTGTCGTTGCCTGGCTTTCTGCCTTAACCTTGAGGCATCTATCTATCACATATGCCTCAGGCCGTCACTGCTGTGCAACAAGATTATTCAGTGATATTCAAGGTAACTATAGAGTAGTCACTGCTAGATATACCTAGAGAAGAGTCTACAGCCCATATCGTGCCCAGTAGCCAAACCCAGGCCAACAGATCTATCTCCGCTTAACCGGCGACGTCTCAAGAACCCAATTCCCATCCTCAATATGAGCCGTTGCACCACGCCTCGCAGCCCGCATAACCTTCTCGCTCGCTCGCGTCCTTTCACCCGTTTCCCGATCCCAGACCCAACCTTCCTTCAGCCACATCCACGTCAAATAAGCACGAAGTTCCTTATCCTGCGGCAGCACCGACTTCCATTCTGGCACGAACTCAGCACCGGCACCGCCTCCTTTCCAATCCTTAGCCAAGCCGCGTAATTCATCGCGACAAAAGATCCGCCAGCTATCCAAAGCATAAGCCCCAACGCCGGGGAGATGCGCGACTTCCCAAGCAACACGCTGGTCGTCATCGTCGATACACTCGCCTGCTTTAACATCCCTGCCATCCGTCTTAGCTGGGTAATTGAGTTTCCGGTACCGTTTGCCGAGAGTGGGCGGACGACCAAGCCAAGTCTGCGCTAGGGCGATGCATTTCCTTGCGCGCTGATTCTGGAAGCCGAGGCGGTGGATCATAGCTATCAGATCGGGTGGGTCTGCTGCAGCCATTGCTTCGATCGTGGGGTATCTGTCGAAGACCTGGAATAAGGTTGGGAGCGCGACGCCGCCACGTGTTCGGTTCAGGAAGATCGTTGCGAGGAGGAGGCGGAATGGATTGTGGGCGAGCTGCTCCTGCACTAAGCCAAAGGCAGGCGCGTCAATTGGTGGGAATGGGAGGCAGGAGTCTTCGTTGACCAAGGGTCCTTGGAAGTAAGGTGATATCTTTGCTAGCTTGAGGCGGGGCTTTTTCTGTGGAACAAGTATGTGGCCCGAAAAGTCAAGCGGGGGTGGTGTTTGCTCCCTCGCACTGCAGGAAATGGCGCAATGTGCGGACTTGATGGGTTCAATTGGGGTTTCGGTTACCTCTTCGAGGCATTTTGTGACACTGCGCTTTGAAAACAACGAATGGGCTGGAGACGTGGATGGGCTATCGGATAGGGAATCAAGGTCACTGGGTACGTCACTCAAAGTCGAATCAGAGAGGAGAAGATCAGAAAGCATGCCCATGTCCTCAACCATCCGCAGAACATGGTCTGGAATAGAGCGACGGTTGTAAACCACGGGCGGAGCCTCAAGATCAGCAGCTTGCTTCCTTTCAATCTTCCTGGCCTTCTTTTTCACGAAATATTTGGACCTCACCTCATCGCCGGCTGTCAACCCCGGCAAATCCTCGGTTCTTAAAAATCCAACACAATCGGGTCTTCAAGTGCTGCACCGCTCTGCTGGGAAGAATGAATTGTCGGCTGTTGCGAGGGATCCCCACTGCTACGCCGCTGTCTCTTCTTTGGCCGTGGAGCTTCCTGCATATCGCCCTTTCCGGAGCGGGACAGCTCTTTAGATTCGAGAGAACGCGCAGGAGCTTCAGCAACGATGCTGGTATGAGCGCGATTCGTTTTCTTGTGAGAATTAGCGAGACACTCCTTCGATCCAACCTTTCCGGATCTTGACGGCTTTTCAACCTTATTCTGAAATTCAACCTCCGGGGTTCCAAGATCGATGGTGACAGGAGTTTTCTTCCCTCCCTTGTCGGCCACAGTATGAGCTCCACTCAATACATTGTGCTGCAGCATCCACCTATGCTCCCGCTTCCGCTTCCGCTTTTTTTGATCCTTGGATACGCATACGCCTGGATCGTCGTGGTCACGGTCATCCAGTGCAGTTGGATTGATTTGTCCAGAGGCATTCACAATATTGCCGAAGAGTTTCTCCACCATCCTTTCGGAGCTAGCTAGGATCTCGGGCCTGAAGTTTGCTGTCTTCTTCTTATCACCGGCTAACCGCAGTGTCTCGGGTTCGTGCGAGGGTGGAGCTTGAATCTCGACCTCATCCCCAAACTCCGAACCCTCAGTAAATGCCTCTCCGTGTCCCACATTCTGAAGATAGTAACGCTTGATATCAAGAAGGATTCTGTTAACCGCTTCCTCTTCGTACCCAGTCTCTTCGGCTTCCTCACGAACATCGCAGACGAACTGTAGACGCGAACCGAGTGGAACAGGATACTGTTTGTTGCGCATGAAATTGTGTTCGCAGATGAATCTAAGAAGCGGCGAGTAGCTGTCGTCCTCGGGAGTCGTAGATGGGGACAAAGAGGAACTGGCGCCGAGCTTGACTCCGCCATCATGCTCTTCGTCTCTGTTTTCGTCACTGTCGATGTCTAGGCAATCCCCGTTCGCACCTTTCAGTGATGGGCTAGGTAAAAGCTTCGGCCTGTTCGTATCGCCACCAACGCCTTGAGCATTATCGCTGCCAAGTCCGGTCTTCTTGGTAGGAGTATTGACAAAATGTCCGGCCGCGCGGTGATCCTCGGTGCTTGATTTAGGTATGGGCCTCAGCTTGTTTGCGCTGCCGGTAGCTTGTGCATTGCGCTCGAACGCAATCTTTGAGGGCGGAGGAATGGCTTGATCTTGGTCTTCCACTGCGCGGTGCATCTTGGTACTCGGCTTGGGAACTGGCCTCAGCTCGGTTGTGTTACCCCGGCCAGCGCCCCGGACATTGTCGGTACAAAGTCCAGCCTTTGTGATCCAGATATCGGCATCGTCGTCGAGAGCTCGGTACTTCTCGGTGTTCGACTTGAGTACAGGCTTCTTGAGTATAGGCTTCAGCTTGTTCGATTTGCCAGCGACTGATGCAGCCCCATGTTCGCGATTGGCTCCTATCCTTGCGGCATTGGCTTGATCTTCGGCGTGTCGGTGTTTCCCGGTACTCGCCTTGGGTACAGGCCTCAGCTTGTTGGTGTTGCCAGTGGAGGTGACATTGGCACTATCGCGAGCAAGCGCAGTCTGTGGGAGCGAAGTTTTGACTGGGCCTTCAACAGCACTGTGTACCTTGTTCTTGCTCTTCTTTGTGCTCATGTTCTTGTCCTTGTGTTTGCTCTTGGACTTATCCTTCGGTTTGGATTCCTTCGACTTCGAGGTGGTAGGATTGGCAGATGAAGCGGTAGAGAAAGAGAAGCCGTCTTTTTCGCGACTGAGTCTCGCCATTTCGGTTTGTTCGTCGTGCGATGCGATGCGATGAGGGTTTGAGTCTTCTGTGTAGACGTGGACGTGTAAGCGTAGGTTGTAAAGGTGGAGCGAAGAAAAGACGGGGTAAGGGGTGAGAAATCGAAAAAGATGAGGAAGAAAACGAAAAGAACTTGGAGGGGAAATAGAGTCTCACTAACACAAGAGAAAGACTCAGATCGAAATTCACTCAACTCACTCCCGAACAGAAGACAGCCTAGGTGCTCACGGCGCACCCCCAAGTCAGCAATCTCCCTCCACCCTGCCAGCTGATCAAGGCGCGCTCGGCTTCTACATTGGCGATCGTGTCAAGTATATCGGTATCCCAACACTGTCTGAAGTAAGATGGGTGAGAAAAAGTTGGTCACATTTCGCATCGGCGTGGTGATCTGAAAAATCCGGGGAAGGATTTTGGGCCAATTTGATTTTAAGCGGAGCGGAGTCGTTGCGCACGGGCCACTCGGTTACTTTCGTCATACCTAGATGGAGGGCTGTTTACTTTCAAGGTACATTGTCTTATCTGTTTTCAATCTGGCTATATGTTTAAATTACACGGTAGATATATTGAGTATGTTCGTCGTCTGTCCTTCTAGAATCTACCCAAAAGCCGGCACCGCACCTATATACTGCAAGGTCTATACCTACGGTCTACCAACTTTTACCACCCTTCAGGGCGCATACATAGCACAAAATAACAGCAGCTTAAACCGCAAAGCCCGCCGAATCCAACTGTCTCGGCTCCCCCGCCGCATCAAACGTCCCATTTTTCAACACACGAATCGCCTGCGCCGTACTTCCCCCCGGTGCGGTCCAGGTAACATTATGCCCGCGGGCCTTCATAAACGCGACAGTGGAGTTATCGTACGCGTACTCGAACGTCGCCTGGTTGGGAATCAACTGATCGTGCAGACGAGGTCTGGCCAATGCCTCGGCGGCACTTAGGCCCTCGTCAACCGCGTGGATGATGTTCTGCACGGTAGCTGTGATGATGCGGCTTCCGCCCGCGGAGCCCGCGATGAAGAAGGTTGTTCCGTTGGGGTAGGTTACTATTGCCGGTGTGCAGGAGGAGAGGGGGCGTTTGCCGGGTCGGATGTAGTTTGCTTCGGAGGGGATGTAGCCGAAGGAGTTGGAGGAGCCGGGGATGGAGAAGTCTGGACATGTTTGTTAGAATAGGTTGAGTTGGGGTGCATAGAGTGCGTACCGTCCATCTCGTTGTTCATGATGACGCCCGTTTCGGGGACAACGATTCTGCTGCCGAAGAGGAGGTTGATTGTCGTGATCGCTGAGACGGCGAGGCCGGAGCGGTCGATTGTGGCGATGTGCGATGTTCCTGGCCTATACTTATGGTAAGACGATGCCTTAAAGGAGGTTTAATGATACTCACGTTTCCAAGCTCTCAATACCAGCCGGGTCATACGCAGACACATTCTGTGTCCGGAGGTCCGAGATCCTCGAATGAATGTCATCGGCAGTGTCCTGGTTAATCATGTCCCGTTCGTACTTGCTCATGCCATCAACAAAGCCTGGGTCTCCGAGGGCGGTTCTCTAACAACGAAGTCAGTCATGGTCCATTCAAGCGTGTACTGATTCTTTCCACACACCAAGCCGTAGGCAAAACGCATCGCCTCATCCAATCGATGCGTACTCAAATTGACATTCTGCGCCGTAAACAGCGGCTCGTACGTATCCAAGACCTTGAGTATATTCATAGCAACACTCCCACTCGACGGCGTAGTCGTGCTTGTCACCTGGAGCCCTCGGTAATTGATCTGCGCGTGATCACGCACAACAGCCGTGTAGTTGCGAAGATCCTCCAGCGTCATAGTTCCATTAGCAGCCTGAAGCGCCTTAATCGTGTACTCCGCGATCGAGCCCGAGTAAAACGCATCGGGTCCCTCAGCTGCAATTGTCTCTAGCGTGTTGGCATAGCGCTTGCGAGTGATGGTATCGCCCAGTTTAACGCGCGTGCCGTTCGGCGCAAAGTCAATGGCGAACGAGGGGTCGTTGACGAGGAAGTCGTCGCCGGAGCCGACCGCGGACTCCATGTATCGGACCAAGTCCCTGCCGACTGGGAAACCGTTGCGCGCGGTGTTGATGGCGGGCTGGACCAGGGTGGACCAGGGGAGGGAGCCATATTTGCTGTGGAGGAGTTCCAGGCCGCGCAGCTCACCGGGTACGCCGCTGGACCTCGTTAGATAGGTAAATCAAGGCAGAAAGTTGGGTTTCGCACCTCGCCAACCCGCCGAGCGTGGAGGCATCGGTCAGGTTATTGAACATGGTCTCATACGCCGCGGCCGGAGCGGTCTCCCGGAAGTCAATATACTCGAATGTGCCGTCGGGGGCCTTAACCAGCATAAAGCCGCCGCCGCCAATGCCACTGTGGTACATCCCTAGGCAACCATCAGCAATTGTCGCCGCGTGGCTTCGAATACAACAGTAGGAATCTCTCACCGACAACCCCAACACAAAGCATAGTCGCGACCATCTACACCAAACCGCATCAGTAACGTCCAACCCGAGTCACAAGCAAAACCCACAGCATCAGCCGCATTCCCACCCATCAAAATAACATCCGTGCCATGCCGGCTACAGATCGCGCTCTCGCTCGCGACAGCGCCCCGTTTGCCATACTGATCCGTGGCCTCCGCCTCCGCGCCTCTCTGCGTATGACCGGTAAAGCGATCGTACGAGTCCAGCGGCGACGGAATAACACCGGGCACGTGGAAAACCAGCAGCACCAGGCAGAGTGTGGTACAGAGGGAGACCTTCAGCACGCGCGACAGCGACTGCGACATGGTTGGTCTGGAATTGACAGCGGCTAGCGAGCGCGTCTGGCTCGGATGTGAAGAATCTAAAAGGAATGAAAGCTTGTTGTTGGAGCTTGGGAGAAGTGGCTGGGTGACACCATCGTTGCTTATTATTAGCACTGCTTGATCTTCGCCGGGCTCCGGCCCCTACGGCTCCTACGGCGCCGCTGGCAAATAGTCGCGCGAGGCTGAGGGCATACGTACCTGTTTCTCCACATCTTGCGCGCTATACCCCTGCATGGCCTTACTCCAACGGTGGCTCTTGCCTGTTTTGTTAGGTGATAAAAGATGTGGATAGGGAATATATTGAGGAAATGGTGAAGAAGACAAAGGGCATTTTGGAGAGGGGCACAAAGGCTCCGACAGGCACCGTGGAATTGATAAGCAAAGGGCCAGGGCCAGCGTAAGTGGTTGATAAGGCCGCAGATTGAGTTGGAGTCAGCTGCGACTCCAATCTTCCAATGGATCCGCTGATAGCCTGATACAAGATTGGGGTTCTGGCTTGTCATGCAGGCCGATAAGAGGTTCTCGGTTCTCACTAATCACTGTGCAGGTGGTCTGGGCACGGGGCCTGTCAACAAAGCCCCGGCTTGTCACGGGTCAAATCGCTGTAGATCCCCCGCAAACACTCTCTACTGCCCATTACGTACGACAAACCGCCCTACCTCAACCCCATCTCACTCTTCTCCTTCTGTCGCTCCCCATCATACGGTACTGTATATGAGACCATCTTTCTCGCCCACAGAACTGTCTCCGTCCATTCCGTGGGAATCTCCTCCTGCGGCCCGAGCACCGTCGCAACCAGGCGACGGCCCCAAACTCCAACATACCATTTGTTAGAGAGCAGATGCATCCCAACGCCATAGTGCAAGAATATAATCCGCGCCGTCCAGTCGCCCTCTTGTAACTGTGTCATGAATTCCTGGCTGATGTGAATCGGGAACGCGAGGATTCCGCCTTGATTCTTCCCCCTCGGCCACTCCTTGATTGCTTCTTGCAGCGTGTCCCAGGTGCTTTGGTACATTGCCTGGTGGGGGCTTTCTGTTGAGTCTATGGTGCTGCGGAGGTTGTCTAGTGATTTCAGTAGGTCCCTACGCTCGTTAGTATCTCTTCGCGAGCTCAATCCGGGAAGCGCGGACGTACCGTTGTAACTGCTCTAGGATTGGGTCTTCTTGTGCGCTACACGTTATGTTAGCAGGTGCCGGTGGACGCGAAACAGTGGAAATGAACCACTCACTCCTCTATATGCCCACTCTTCAAAAACACCTCTCGTCGCTTATAGATAAACCACGCCTTCATCTCCTCCGGCTGCTCGACACTATCCAACTTCTCGAACAGAAACGCGCACCCCGTAAGGAGCCGATTAATTTCGAGCACCTGCGACAGCGGATCAAACGTGTCTCGATCCTGCGACACGCACGGGTACGCAAAAGAACAGAGCATGATGAAAATCGAGCAGATGAACGCCGGCCCTATAGTCTCCGGCGCAAGATCAGCCAGCACGCGACTAAAAGCCGACGTCGCCCGGTTCTGATACTTCAGCGCAATCTCCAGCCACTTGCTATCGCCCTGCTCGAGGAACGCGATATGCAGGGCCGCAAATGCGAGCAGGATGTCGAGAAGAAATGGGTTCGATGTCGCGAGGCGCGGGATTGGGATTTGGAAGTGGCCGGCTTCTAGGACGTCTTGCCGGAGCGTGAAGGACGCTTCGACCGTGTAGTGGTGGAAGAGCTTCATCTCTAGCATGCGCGTTTGGCCCGACCAGCCGTCGGAACTTGTTGGCGTGTCGGCGCTGGAGCCCTGTGGTGTGAGAGGGAGCTGGCCATCTGCCTCTGCGGCTGCGGGTGGCGGGTAGTCGCAGTCTAGGCCTCGCTTCTTGCATAGGCTACATCGTGGGAGCTCTTCATCGCACTGTATGTTACAATAAGCGCTGGACAAGGTGGGGGGTTCCATATATGCAAGTTGAGAAACATAACGCGATCAGGATGCAGCGCATGGCACACGATTCCATAAGCGCGTCAAGAACAAATCCAAGCACGAGAACAGCGACGAACCTTCACATGCCTCCGTTTACATTGAAAGCAACCCCTCCGGGATTTTGTATGGCTGCGACGCGAGGGCATTCGAGATGAACACAGCTTATCATCCGACCGGCGCGGTCGAATGAGTCACAAACCGAGCCAGGATTGCCAGAGGAATTGTAGGTGCAAATATAGCCACTGGAAGCATAGGTTATTGGCGCTGCAAGCTGGCAATCAAGCTTTCCACGAGATGTGGTAGGGCTGTAAATGTCGTATTCGTCGTATCCCCACAAACCAAAGCGCAGCATTGCAGAAGCTTCAGGTGGGCGAGTCAGACGATCAGACGATGCTGGGGCGAGCGGATCCGATTTCCCGGTCAAGTCCGAAACGTGACTGGGGGCTACTCTGCACAGCAACTAGCCATGAGGGTCTTAATTGCGGTAAAAAGATGCTGGCGGCTGGGAATTAGAGTCCTGCTAAGGGATTCGGCCTGGCTTTTGGAGCGCGTAGAAAGCGATTGTAGTAATTCAAAGAGCGACCCATCGGTAAAGCCCGTACTACATCCTTCCACCTGTCCGAGTATCCATGTTATAAGCAATGTTCATTCTATCGACCATGTCCATAGCATAAAATATCTCACTATATTTAGACCAGGGTCCAAAGCCTATAAGCATGTAGAGTAATTAATAGAACAAGAGTAGATATTTGAAACACTCTTTGTACTATCGCATAGAACGTACTATAGACCATGGCCGTAACTGCTGCGTGGTGACTATTAAGACAGGTGGAATTTCATTCATTATATTCAGGCCAGACAGAGTGTTTGGATTTGGGAGTCGAAGAGAGCGATTGTATTTGTGGCCCAGTAGTTGAAGGAGCGTACTGGCGTAGGTACGGTAAAGCGTGTGCTACCGACGAGCGGGAAGCTTTTACAGGAAAGAGCATTGGAGGAAAGAACTTCGAGAATTAAGAAGTTACGGGATATACTTTGACACACGACCATCTGTTAATCGTGCCAAAAAGTAATATCCCAGTGGTGGTTTACAATACGGAGATTGATAAAAAAAAATAAAGAGCTTAAAAAGAAATGCTTCCAACGAGAATCGAACTCGTGTTTTCGGATGTCCCTTGTAGAAGGGTCATGTAATATGAGACCGACGTCCTAACCACTAGACTATGGAAACTTGCTGAAGAAATCTACCCTTTTTATGTTTTATATGCCAGACACAACTTAACAAGCTATCTCATCCAATGCTCCTTGACGTATGCATAAGTCGAGCGGGGCCGTGTGCAGTACTGTCCAACTCGGTCGGATTGCAGAATTTGACTAGTCGTCAGTACTATACCAGTATATTGACCTTTGATATCCGTGCCTATGTGCGTTATTGGGATGGTTCTCCCCCGCCAGTACTTCGAGATTGCTGATATATGTATTCGCATACCCCCCTTTTCACTATTGGAGTATAAGGACGGACCTATTGCCAATTGGCTTTTACGGCCTAGCGGTATATATGCTAACAGGTTATGAGCCCACCTATAGAGTCCGGTTGTGCAAACGGATGCTTGATAGGTTAGACTCGTTGATCAATCCTTACCCGTGCCCTTAGCCATAAAACCCGGATATCTAGAAAAGAAAGCTAGTGCGAGGGTAATCTACCTATAACCCAAGGGTAAAACAGAGCTATATAAGCCGACCTTCTAGGGGGTATATTGGGGTATAAGGACGGGCTATATAGAGCTAATTGGGTTTCATGGCCTAGCGGAATATGCTAACACACTCCAACACGAACCACCCAATGTCCATCGGTCCACTGTAGTTCCACCAGTGCAACATTGAAACTCTCTGAGTATGTCTGCCAGAGGGACAGACGAAGCTGACGCCGACAGAGGTCTCCATAGTCAATGTCAAAGTTTCTCCAAGAAATAGCAGTCCCCACTGTAAGCATATAGTATGTGAGGTGTAGTGTTGTGCCTAGGGAGCACACTCCATGGCGGCAGTTTGTGCTAGTCGAGAAGCCTCCGATAGGTTGTTCCATAGTCCCAGTCCTCCTTGGCTAGGATCGCACCAGGGAACTTAAGGGCGAAGCGTGCAATATCATACACTATAGCAACCAAGCCACCCCTCACCCTCGAGGCCGTGTAGGGGAAGGGCTGCGACACAGGTACCTGAAAGCCACCCCTCACCCTCGAGGCCGTGTAGGGGAAGGGCTGCGACACAGGTACCTGAAAGGGACAGGGCCGCCATTTAATCACTCGTTCAACATTGCAGCCTCCTCCGGAGTAAACATGACAGCTGGGGCCCCTTCGCAAGAGAGACCCTTCCTGTGTACCTGACACGCCAATCTTGCAAAGTTAGCATAAGTGGATGCGAAGAAGCAGAGTCTTACGCTTGTATATCGAAGATAGCCCAGGAAACCAGCTTCTGACAATTTGAGATCATGGTCGATCGGTCAACGACATCGCTGGAAAAGTAACGACAGCCAGTCTTATCAATGTCTAGCCCGGAGCCCAATTCTGCTGCGCGGATTATGTAGTTGGTGCCAACTTTGTCAATGTCGAAAGTGCAGTATAGAAGGCCAATTGACATGCTTGGTTGGATCGTGGTAAGGTCGACGCCGTCCTTATCCTGGATCCAGAGACGCTGTATAGTGGCGTACACCTTCTCACCAAGCCCCTTCTCCTCCCGCCGATTGGTGATACGGGCAAGGTTGTACGAGAATCTGGGGTTGATTAGCACTTGAACCCCCGAGTAATCGACAACCTTACACAGCCGAAGAACAAAAGCGTATGGACGAGTAACAAAGAGCAGAATCTCGTGCAACGATGCTCCAGATCATGCACGAATAGAGTTTGATCGATAAGATGCCATGTGGGATTTTCCCATGTGAAGTAAAAAGAGATTAGATGCGTCCAATTTTGTTCGACGTAATTCTGATTGGCGGCCGTTGTAAGAGAGCCAGCGTATTACTCCTCGCACTTGACTGCCATGCTTGATGCGTCCGCCCGAATGGCAGTCCGGGCTTGGGTGAGAAAATCTGCTGCTCAGATGCGGGTCGGCAGGAAGAAGGGTTGAGAAGAACTCAGGAGATGCGTGGAAGCGGCTCTGCCACAAAGTCAGCTATCATTACCTACTGACCACAGGACAAGTTGGTTGGACGAAGTTGTATGGCATCGTGGATCGACTAGCGGCTGTCCCGGGTGCTCTGGGAGACAAGCTCGCGCAGCAGCGACTCGTAGGCAAGAGCCCCCTGCTCTCGAGATTGAACCCGCACCTCTTGACTCTTCCGCTTGAACTCTGGCGCCATGGGACTCGGTCTGCTCGGAGATTGGGCGCCGGTCGTGTTACTGTCGAACCAGGGTTGGGGTCACGCGGAGTTGCAAGCTGCTGAGGTTGTTCTACTTCTGTCACATTCCGCTCGGAGCTCGTCTCCCCCATCCTCCACCCCCAATGTCCAGGGTCTCCTTGGGTGCACCGTAGGGATGAAGGGAAGAAGCTCCCTTTAGACTCAAGATTTGATTCCTAAGTCTGGCCAATGAGCCTGTCTGGATAATGCTTCCGTGCTAGCAATACGAGTGTCCCTGCGCCAAACACGATGTCTCACGTATAACGGTAGAAGAAGCCGATGGTTATCCAGAACCGTGAAATCATTAATGGCTTGGGGTTGACTGATAAGGGTATCCATAAGCTGGGTTGGTAGCGAGCCCGGTAAAGCATACCATAGCAGCTTGCGTCGGGCCTCTACAGCAGAGAGCGCTCGCCTTCTTTCCCTCGCGAGTCGCAACTCTTTGCCCCCACAAACCTTGACTCGTCAACCAACCAGCCATCTATTCTGACCAATTGGGACTCTATAACATTACCGAAGAACGGCACTTTTATCTCTGATCAGACGCCCGGGCGTTCTGCAGCCCCAAGCCTCATCGAAATAAAAGAGCCAGCCGACTGTTCGGAGTACCAAGGTGATCCCCCGATTCTTGTCTGTGGCTCAAAACGAAGACTGATGGGTCTGCATACCCCTCAAACAGTGGCGGTCTCACATCGATCCTCGTTCCCATCCGAGTTGAACATTCGAAGCAAAAATTATGGTCTGATCCTTCCACGCTGGGCACAGTCACGCGATTTAGTTGCCGCCAATGAATCTTGCACCAAGAACACCTGGCGGATTATGCGCTTCCAATACCCCGCGTCCTTAGGTATACATGCGCCACATGAGCAAGTCAGAAAGCTGGTGCGATGCCCGCAAGCTTAGAGGAGATCGTACGAACCGCCATGTTTTATTTGCTGCTCGATAGGAACACCCAGCGAAATGCTTCGCCGGTTCGGCAGCGAAGCGCAACAAAAATACATTTCGTTTTGCTTGACGGACTTTCGAAGTGAATCACTCCATTTCTGCAGACATTACGGCTTCTACGATAATCACAGCATTGCTTCCGGATAAGCCGTGCTGACGCTGGGCCTTCTGCAGAACAAGTCTGGACACTGTCGACCAGTCCAGTTTGCAACAATCCCCGCCCTAAAATCTGAGGTCATCTTCAACCCTCCAAGGCAGTCGAGATTAAAATCCTCGGCCCCATGAGGGCGAAACCGGGGCAATGGCCGGCCAATCCGGGGTGATGCCGGGGACCATTTCGGGGTCATCCGCAACTCAGGAGACCAATCCTTGCAGAGCCCTGCATCCTGAAGAATCAGTTTCAATCTCTTGTGCTTTAAGTGTGGCATCCTTTGATCGACCAAGAACGGCAACTCCATACAGAGCATCATACCAGATATCTTATCACAACCGATCAGTCGTTCGGGGTACAAGTGTACCGTTACACCACTCTGTGAAGCCCAGGCCACGCGCCCGGGAGATCATCCCATGATGAACCAATTCGTGTATCCCGTGGCGGATGTGCGCCACAGCGGCCTTTAATATAGGGTGGAGGGATACTCCCCGAACAATACGCCGTCCCCACTCGCGGGGACCTGGCTTGGCCTAAACGATGGATCAGCTTAGTGTATACCCTTGCAGTCAACCCCGGAACTTTAATCATTTCCAAACGGTATGATCGGGGACGCCCATGGCGACCATCTGATTATAGGCATAAGAGCATTGAGGCATGGTGAAACCGTCGATTGAAGGAGAGAATGAAATGTCGGAGAGCATCGTCTCCACCCGATGTTAGGCATGGAGGCTCAACTGCATAGGTCGCTGAAGAATGTGGGGAACTTGACACCAAGTAACCGGTACGTGTCACAAATTCAAGCTAGAACTGATCAGGACTTCGCTCAAGTCCTTGATTCGTTGGAAAGCCTTCCATGAAACCAACGGCGAATCCCGTGCGGCGGTTTGAAGATACGGCCCGGGGATGAAGGAAGGACTGGTCGGCGACTCGGGCTTCTCGGGAACAAGAGGATTATTGGAAATTGGACTCGAGGGGAACCGAGTTATTGCGTGGGTCGCCGAGAGCTGAAGTAAGTGCCATGTTATTTTTCATCTTGCCAGTCGCCCATGGAATTGCCAACGAGGCCTGCCGCTAATGTTCGTCCTATTGACTGCCAGACTTTCAGCATCAACCATATCCAAATACCACTCTATAACCATATCTCGACGAGGAACAAGATGCCAGGAGATTCCGATTCTTCCTCGAAACCATCGTCGGTAGCATGTCTTCCCTGCCGCAGTCGCCATGTCAAGTGTGATGCCGTTATGCCCACTTGCACTCGCTGTCGGACAAACGCTACCGAATGCCACTATATTCGCTCGAGGAGAGGACTACGGAAACGTAGTAAGGACTCTTTATCTCAACCGCTAGAAGAGAACGTCTTTTCGATCGGTGCCGACACCTTGCCGGACTGGCTGGATGCTGCTTTACCTCCAGACTTAAGCGTAGATGTACCGTGCCCTAGAAACCAACCATACTTCCGGTGTGCGTACCATGAAAGAGTAACAAACTGACCTAAGCAGGCAGCAAAAACGTTTCTGCAGCCTCATGATGGCCCCACGATTCAAGAGTTCTCTCTCCTTGACGACGCCCTCGCCCTCCCCGAGACAGACCTTGTCACCCCCGAGGTGGCATATGACCCGATGATCCAGCTCTACTACGAGAACTTCCATCCTTCACATCCTTTCATGATACCGAGAAAAGCGCTCGGCACCTCGCTCTGCTACCTGATACCCCCGCCACTCCTCTCCATCATGCGCTATATCGGTGCTCATTATTATCCAAATCCGTCTCTCAAGCAGGAATTCCGCCAAGCAGCGTTCAACGCTGCCTCTGATGCATCAATAGGAGATGGAGCCAGAGTTCAAGCGTTGCTCTTGCTAGCCATCGTTGACCATTCACATTGCCATGAGCAGAATGCGCACCGGCTAATCCAGACGGCCGTTAGCCTGGCACTGGAGATTGGAGTAAATCGTCAGTGCTTTGCTACCGAGCACTCCTACGGCCACTCCGTGTTGGAGGAAAGCTGGAGGAGGACATACTGGGAGCTCTACGTTGTCGAGGGGCTATTAGCTGCGATGCGAGAGCAGAGTTCGTTCAGGTTATATCACGAACCGGTAAACGTGCAATTACCCTGCGATGAGAAGATGTATAACTGTGACAATGTAGGCATCAAGCAGAAAGAAAGGTTACCAGCTAATATAGTATAGGTAATACCGTCTAGGCAGAGCCTGGATGACCTCCAGAACAACTGGACACTAGGACAGGACTTTTCAACATTCGCCTACCGCATCAGCGCCGTGCAGAAGCTCGGTGCCGTCCTCGAACTAAATCGCTCCCTCGAACTCGAAGGCAGTCTCGAATCCCATATCGAAACCATCGATGCCCATCTCGTCTCCTCACTCATGGTCCTCCCTCCACTCCACGGCACAGGATACGACAGCTCCTGCCACGACGAGATGGTCTTTCAAGCTCAAATGATCCTTTACCTGTGCGTACCAATCTACCCCTTTGACACGGAAGCCATAGCAAGACTCAAGCTGACCCATATCTACCCAGAGCATTAACCTACCTCCACCACCCCCGCTCCAGCATGCGCTTCGCCTCCTTCCACGCCAACCCGCCAACCCCCTGCACCCGATTCCAACTCCCCGAAACACCAACAGAACAACTCTCGCTCAACCACACACAAGCCCTAAACTTACACTCCCACAAACTCCTCCGCGCCGCAGACCACCTCTCCGCCCTCGCCACCCTCCCCAGCGCCATCCACCGCCGCACCCCGTTCTTCACATGCGCTCTGGCAATGTGTATAATCGTGCACACCGCCGCCCTGCTCGTCGTTGAATCAGACGAGAAGAAGAAGGAGGCGATCAAGGCGCGCATTCAGCTGAGTATTGGGGGTCTGAAGGTGCTCGGGCGGACGTGGCCGCTGTCGAAGGTCGTGAGGGGGCAGATGGTTGATATGTACCAGGCGGTTAATGTGGGGAGGTAGCATATGTGCAGGGTGCAGACGGTTTGGTTAGGCGGCTGGATGTCCGAGTGGTGAGGTGTCAGCAAGAACTCTGGGCACCGTGTTTAAGCATGCATGATTCATGGACCCGAAAGAGGGATGGAAGGGGGATTCGGCGGCGTACGTGGGTATAGGTATAATGCAGAGTCGATGCGGAAGATACCCTAAAACAACATGGTCTGTATGAATGGAAAGTCCATACCGAGCTTCATAAAGAAGTCGTGGTAGATATAATCCCACTGGACGGGTCCCGTTAGTCCAGGCCAGCAGTAGCAGGTAAGGTGAACGCAGCCAAACTAATCTAACGACCACAGACGCCAGGCGAAGACACCCAAAAGCCGCTCGCACCTTGAGGGGTGAATCAAACTCCTACAGCCCCTCATACAGCTTCTGGCACATTCCTGAGCCGAGGCCCAGGCTGGGACTGGACAACCCAAGGGAGGGCTAGTATTCGAAGGGAACGGTAACAGCTGACTCCTGAGGACTATAAGACCAGTCCAAGTGCGAGAGACTCATAGAAGAAACAAGTATTTACATGATTCTACATCTAAATCTATCGATTCTATATACAAGTTCTCTACCTTCTACTCCAACTCAATCAAAGATCATGTCTAGCATACCTACTCGCCATCCTTAGCCTCCGCCCAAACCTCAGCAGGACAAACGGCGCCGGCACAAACAACACAGTCAGACAACCCAAAAGCGTACAGGCCCAGTTCACACCAAGGTTATGGAACATGGCGCTCGCGAAGATAGGAAAGCCCGCGCCGAAGCTCGAGCGCATGAAATCATTGCCCGCGAGCACACTCGCCGCATACCGCGGATACGCACCCATCAGGTACGTGAAGATACAGTAGAATATGAGACAGCTACCCAGGGCGAAGAACATGCTCGCGACGATGGGGACGATCCAGTGGATGGAGGCGTAGTTGCCTGTCCAGCCGAAGAAGAAGAGCGAGATGGGGAGGAGGATGCAGCCGAGCGCCGCGGGGGGGAGTTGCTTTTCGGGCGCGATGTCTCCGGATTCAGAGTAGTGCTTGCGCTGGAAGAAGTACTTCCAGCCGCAGTAGAGGGGGATGGCCATGGCGTAGCAGGCGACCAGGATGCCTAGGAAGGAGAGGCCGCCTTCGCCGAGGTTGAAGCCGTGGATTTCCTCGAAGACGATGGGGAAGGCTTCGAACCAGAGGTAGAAGATGCCGTAGATGAGGGAGATGTAGATGTTTAGGACTAGGACGATGGGTTCGGTGAAGCAAAGCATGAAGGGGCGGAGGAGGGTTTCGAAGAGGATGCGCTGGTGTGGTTAGCTTTTATTCCTGAATGGGTATGGGCAGGGGAAGCACGAACCTGCTTGGGTGTTCCGGAGAACTCGGCCTCCGCTTCGGTTGTGAGATCCTTCATTCCTGTCACCCGGCGCAGGCGTTTTGCTCGTCGGCTGAGGATGTTGGGCGCGTATGTCTCTGGCAAAGCGATGAAGAGGAGCACTAGGGTAAACCCTGATAGCCAGAGGAGTTCCCAGATCGTCCATGTCCATCCCTTTGACATCGACGCGAAGCCGCCAATCAAGGGCCCTACAACAGGTGCAGCGATTGCAATGGCGCCCCAGACGGCGATCATGTAGTCTCGGATTATGGGATGCCAGATATCGCCTAGAGAGGCGCCGCCCGTAGCTAGGACTGGGGAGCCTAGAAATCCGGTAAGAAAACGGAAGGCGAGCAGCATTCCGAAGTTCTTTGCATATATGACCGCAAATTGAAAGAAGGTAAAGACGAGGAGGGTGTAGATGTAGACGGGGTTTCGGCCGATGGCGGGGATTTCGGAAAGTGGTGACCAAACCATTGGGCCTGAATGAACTGCATTAGCCTTGAGCGTGGTAGAAAGAGCTTGATGATAGCGTACCTAGACCATAGCCCGCAACGAATAAACTAAGTCCCAGCGTCGCCGCGACCTGGCTGACACCAAAGTCCTGGACCACGCTGGTGACACCGGGCGAGTAGATCGAGGAGCCCAGATAGACCGAAAAGGTGAGCAGGAAGATCATCAAAGTCGTCCACACCTTTCTGGCCAGGGGCCAATACTGAGGGTTCTCGGGGTCCTCGGGACCGATCCATGTTACAAGGTTGGGATTAGGCTCTTTCTCCTTCTCGTCCTCGCCATGTTCTTGGTTTGTCAAACATGCCGACACAAAAGTATAAAGACCCCAGATGTTCTGCTGATTTTCTTCATCGACAAGACCCTTGCGCACTAGGTAGTTCTTGCATGTCTCGTCGCTGGTTTCCTCGGGATACTTGAAGACGCGACGGTTGGTGAGAAGGCGGACGACCTGCCCGAACTGAGAGTCGCGGATGATCGCCGTGGCCATTGTTGATCTGATGATGAACAAGGCCAGGGTTCAATTCCATTTTATAGGTACATATTGTAACCAGGGTCCAATGGTTCGTTGGATGTATTCCAAGATATGGCCGGAATGACTGAGGTATGAGATCATTGCCATGAGTTGATGGACCCTGAAGTGCACGGAGTATGACGCATGTAGACTCCGACACCAGCGATGAGCCTCTCAGAAGCCACACTCTCGATTATTCTCTGAAGTTCCTGCAGTCCTTATCCGAGAGCTCCGGACCATTAGGGCGATGCGACGATCGGCAGTAGTGTTCTAGAAGGGTTGGTTAGTCTTGAATCATTGTCCACCCACTTAGCAATTTGTGCACCCTGCGGATCTACTACCCGATGTCGACCAGTAGGACAGTGCAATCGCTTCAAAAGACCATGTCTGAGTAGGTTCGATTTTGAACGGGCGAGTCTTGGTATTCTTGGGTTGCAGTAGCGCACTCGGCTGTTCGCCTTCGATCAGGCCCGCGGGTACCAGTAACCGAACGACGACGGTCGCAAAGACATTTTGTGCATATCTGATGCCGTCGGCCGAAGCACCATGAGCCGCTAGAAGCTCGATCGTTGTACAGATCGGAGAATTTACCGACTTGTAATTCTGTTGTGCGGCTTGTGCCACGGACCTCGAGATCAGCCAAGCTGTCGGGAAGAGCCAGAGCTGCAAGGATTTCAAGCTGCGAGCCACACCCACAGCCGGAGAACCCCGAAGTCGGCCTGCGTCTTGATTGAGCTTGACAGCCGGACTCTGCGCGGTGTTCATGGTTCATGCTTCACGCCCAAGCCAATGATAAGCCAGTGGCCGGTGTTGCCCAGGAAGACCTTATGATGTGGAAGCCACCAAGGAGCGCTAACGGGGAGTAGCTTGCCGGCAAACGTGGTGCTGAAAACGCCCCCACGCTGCACCGACTCGCACCGGAACTCGGAATTGGCAGTCAAAGTTGGAACTCACATCCAAACTGAAAAGTATTGAGCGAGACTTGGGAGTCATAACTTTGTATGAAAGTATGCGTCATGTACTTTCGCACTCTGAGTCTCTCTCGTGCAGCTGGGGAAGAACGGGGACGCCGAATCGATCGTGTCATGGATCCACCAGAGAAAAACCAGCAGCGAGTCAGGACTCGGCGACAGTCTTAGCCTCTTAGGTAGGTAGTCCAGCTTGATCAGATAACGGGGCTTATCAGATCCGCCCACAATGCCATTGGCTCCGGAGTCTCCAGGATCATGAGAGGAGGGCGAAAATCTCGAGAGATGAAAACCTTCTGTCGCGTCTGGCCGCCAGTCCGGAACTCTGCTCCTGCTATATAGCTAGACCGTTCCCCGGTGACTCTTCGTTCTCCCCTCCTTCCTTCTATCATCCCTCTTCCTTGAGTTGTTACCCCCTTGTTAGTGTATTGTCCTGTGCCGAGCCAGGCTCTCCGCCATGGCCTTTTTGGATAAATTCATCTCCCGCACCGACCGCACCCCGGCCGAGTCTCATCCCGCTGAGCCCAAGCTCGAGAACCAACAACGCATCGACCCTGAGTCCGACTCGGATCCATCCTCCGACAGCAGTATTTTTGCTCGGAATGAAAAAGAGGTCGAGCAGAACCCGGACAAGATCACCCAAGATGCCCACCTCGGTGTACAAAAGGCCGAGGCCGCCGCCATGGTCTGGAGCAAAAAGGCCGTCTACGCGACCTACGCTTGGTGAGTCAACGATTCTTCTTCCTACGTCTTTTGCTAACAGATCAGGATCTGGGTGTGCTTCTTCCTGCTCGCGCTCCAGTCTTCCGTCAGCTCCACTGTGATCTACAACGCCTACGCCAACTTCTCCAAGGCCCCCCAGGTCTCCACCGCGAATATCCTCACCAGTATTATCGGCGGTGTGCTCAAGCTGCCGATTGCCAAAATCCTCAACCTTTGGGGTCGTGCTGAAGGGTTCGCCATCTTCGTTGGAGTCTATGCTGTTGGTCTGATCATTGTCGCCGCCTGCAATGGCCCTGACTCGTACGCCGCAGGCTACGTCCTTTTCTGGGTTGGTTACAATGCGCTCTTCCTCATCATGGACGTCTTCATGGCGGATACCTCTGGAATGCGCAACCGAGCGTTTACTTTCGCTTTCTCTCAGACGCCGTTCATCTGCACCGCGTTTACCGGTCCTCTGGCCGGTCAGTCTTTCCTTGAAATTGCCAACTGGCGTTGGGCCCACGGCGCTTTCGCGATCATCAACGTCGTCGCCTTTTCGCCGCTTGTCATAATTTTCAAGTTCTACCAGAAGAAGGCCGAAAAGATGGGAGTGTACCAGCGGGAGCCTAGTGGCCGTACCATGATGCAGTCAATCGTCCACTACATCCATGAGTTTGACTGTAAGCCTCTTAGCCACTCCCCTTTCTGGGCCTTGCTAACTTGCTAGTGATTGGTGCTGCTCTGTTGATGGCCGCTTGGATTCTCCTGCTTCTTCCCTTCAGTTTGACGGGTAACGGTCGATCCCAGTACGGTGACGCCACATTTATCGCCATGGTGGTGGTCGGTTTCTGTACTCTCTTCATTTTCGCCGCATGGGAGAAATGGTTTGCGCGCGTTCAGTTCATTCGATATGAGCTTCTGAAGCAGCGCACCGTACTGGGCGCTTGCTGCATGTCCGCCCTTGCATTCTTCGCCTTCTACTGCTGGGATCTCTACTTCTACAACTTTGTAATTGTTGTCTACAACCTCAGCATCTCGAACGCAGGTTATATGCTCCAGATCTACAACGTCGGCTCCTGCTTCTGGGGTGTCATTTTCGGACTCTACATCCGGTGGACAAAGCACTTCAAGTACGCCTGTCTCTTCTTCGGCTTGCCCCTCCTCATCCTCGGTGCGGGTCTGATGATCCACTTCCGCGGCGAGGACCAGGGCATCGGGTACATCGTCATGTGCCAGATCTTCATCGCCTTCGGAGGCGGCACCCTGGTGATCGGCGAAGACATGGCCGTCATGGCCTCCGCCGACAGAGAAGGTGTGCCCATGATGCTCTCACTCCTCGGCCTCTTCTCCAGTCTGGGCGGTGCCATCGGCCAAGCCGTCGGGGCTGCGATCTACAACAACAGTTTCGTCAATGCCCTCCGCTCGCACCTGCCAGATGCCCTCAAGGGCATGGCGAAGGAGATCAGTGACGGCGGATACCTTGTCCAGAAGGATTACCCTGTCGGGGGCGATCTTCGCAACGCCGTCAACTATGCCTGGGGCCGGAGCCAGATGTACGGGTCCATCGCGGCCACTTGTCTTCTTGTCCTTGGTATCCCTTCCATTGCCGTCTGGCGCAACTATAATGTCGACAAGAAGCAGAACAAGGGTATCATTATCTAATCTACGCCGGCTTATGTCGACTTACCGCTATAGAATGCGCTCTACGCTTAATATAATCCCGAGGGATGGGTGGAGGAGGTATTGTTCGACTATCATGGGGATCTCTTTCGTTGGTTATCGATTTTAATTATACCCATTGTTCTAGTTTTAGTTTTCGTCCCTTGGAGCATTTGTTTTTGATGTGTTACGGACGCCCTAATCGACATCCTGGTTGGCTTAGAGGGTAAAATCTCGATACGATTTCAAGAATGAAAAGTTCTATTCTTATTCGTATCTGTTTGACATCTAGGCTTTCATAATTAGCCCTATAGATTCGTTTTGATAGCCCTCTTGGAAGTACTGTGGCGAAGCAACTAACGTATCCAGTCACGGGCGATGATAACTGTTTGGATCTGGCTCGGAAAGGCATTCTGCATAGAACGTGAACCTAATACTGGTACATACACTTGAACAATCCCTAAAAATCGAATCTGTCTGGGACTCTGGTTCGTGTTCCTAGATCATTTATGTCACAGCACCAACCTACAATCAACGCAAAAACCAATAAGAAAGGTAATGGACAACAAAAAAAACATAACATACATAGCATAACATCAAAGGTTAAAATGTTAAAAAAAGGCAAAGGACAACAAGCAGAGCATAAGGCGCATATCAAAGAAACCAGAACAGTAGCATGCAACGAGATATACACTGTAAGCTTTGGCGAAACCCGCTGTCTTGAAGCACTGACAGGTACGGAGTTCGCCAGAATGCTTTGCAAATGCTCAACCCCGGGTTCTCGTCCTAGGCAGAGCCCGACTGATTCCAAGCCCATCCATGAGTGCGTACATAGTCCAGCATCTGAACAGTCTCGTTCTGACCCGCCGCCCAGGAGAGATCAAGCACGGCAGACAACGGGGACAGCGTGCCGGCATCGTATCGCCAGAACTTCACTTTCCTGCCGATCGCAGTTGCGGCCAGGATCCTGGTTGAGCCATCCACGTTGTTCTCGCAATAGTGTATCAATTGATCTGTGGCAGATGTCCACTCCGCCGGCGTATCCTTCGAGGGTCGTTTGCACTCGACAATGAAGATTTGCTTTTCGTGCAGATCGTTTGTGTTCCTGCGCGGGCCGGCTCTCAGCACGATTTTGAATACAGCAAAGTCGGGCATGGTGTCGTCTTGTAGGACTCTCTGCATAACAGCTGTCTTGTAGCCGGCGCTTGGAGGGAAATACTCGGCGCATATGGTGGTCCAAAATATATTGACTGGACCCTCGTCGGAGGTTGGTTTGATGGCGGTAAGGCAGCTGTACAGGCCAAGGTTGCGGTGGAAGGGGGATCCTGCTTCGACGGTTCCGGCCATGGCTGAAGAGGGATGATAATGGTGTTGGAGTCTGCTTTGTTGTTGGGATTCTTCGCTGCGATAGACGCTCAATTTGGTGTAGGCAAAAAGGGACAATTGAGATGGATGGATACTGTAAAGAAAGGGCGATGTACTTGAGGACCATCGGTACTCTTATACCTAGTGAGGGCTGATCCGGATTTTGAGGCGCCTGCTGCGTTATGCACTCGCACCGTCTGCGTCGGCATGGATTCCAAGGCAAGAGTATCTCTGATTTGTCTCAGGTGCAGGTGCTCCCCAAAATCTGTATGGCAATTGAGCAGCTGTTTCTTTGCGCGCGCGTACTTGAGTTATTTTCGTCGTGGGGATGTACCTCTCTGGCAAACCTGATATGGAGCTCCAATGAGTGCTGCGCAAAAACCAACGGCGTTTCCTGAGGCTGACAGACTGTTTCAGACACCAGTGCTAGCTGGAATACCCATAGGTTCAGAGGTCTTAGAGCTCATAGTCCGGTGCTCTGCTTATCGTGGCTGGCGCTTAGGCAGGTGTTCTATAGGTTGTAAGGGCGTAACGAGTAGTCCCATGGAGGGCGAGCCCTCTTCCTTCTCCGATTCAACATCATTGACATTTTCCGTCTTTCCATAGGCCGATGGACCTTTCCATGACCTTTTGAGTTAAAGTAGTTGACAGCAGTTAGTTGTCAAGACTTAAGTTCATAATGACTAGCCAATAGCGTTGCTCATAGTAAACCTCTGGATTGTCTATATGTAGCAAGCGGTAAGTCGTGAGAAAACCTTAACCATCACGTGCTGCGCTAGTTCTAATTAAAATAGGTGTGTTTTAGGCGCCGGCCCTCCGGGCATTTAATATACCCTTTAATTAAGTAGTGCGTGGCTATACTATAAAGCTATATATATATTTTAAATAGGAAATATTACTAAAAACAAGAATAATAAAACTTTTATACTTTTAATTTATTAATTAAAGGGCTTTTTTAAGGCTTGTTATATTTTAAAAAGTAGTAAACTTAGTTACTTTTAATAATTTAGTTATTTTATTTATAGGGTTTTTTTTTCCTAGCACGTGGTGGAACTTTATAAGGTATTATTTATAAATATTTTATATAAAAAAGTATTTATTAGCTAACTAGTGTGTAGTAACTAAAATTTTTTAATTAATAGTATTAATAATAGCGCTAGTACTATTAAAGTATACTATAATTAACGTGTTATTTTATATTTTAAACACCTTAGTAAGCTTTTTTATAAATAAAGTTATTTTAATAGCCCTATTAAATACTAAAAATTTTATTATAATAAATAAAGGTGCTATAATTACTTATTTTTTTAAACTCCACGTGATAAAAAACTTATAAAGGTATATAATAAAGCCCTTGGTAAACTTTCTATTAAAATAATTTTAATAAAATATATTAAAATAAATAATTATTTTTTTTATATAGGTTTTAATAAGTACTAAATTACTTTAATTAACTATAATATAATAAATCACGTGCTTAATAGCTGCCATATTATTAATAATTAAAAATTTTTATTAATATTATAAAAATTAAACTAGGTATATAAGGTTAACACAGGTTTTTTTAAGCTAATTAAAAAATTTAATTAATTAAGTAAAGGCGTGAGTGCTAAAGGTGTTAAAAACTAAAAATATATTAAAATTTATAATATTTAATTAGTTAACTTTTTATATAATTTTAATATACCCCTTTATTATTAGCATTTTTGCCGGCCTAGCCTTAGTAAGGCTAAAATATTAAGCTATTTATTTTATATATATAGCTTAAAAAAGGCAGATTATCTTACTTTTATAATTATAAAATATTATTAATTTAAGAAATTTAATTAATTTATTACTAACTTTAAGTTTATAAATCTTTTATAAAAGGCTAATAATAATATTTATATTAGCCTTTATTTTACTAGTAATAATACTATTATTTATATAAGTAATAATTAGCGTGTAGGGTAACTTTTAAATATATATATAAGGTTTTTTAATAAGTGGTTTAAAGCCCTTGGCGCGTAGTAATTAGTTAAATTCCTAGTTTTATAAGTATATAAAATTATAAAGGCTAAATAGGGCTTTTTATACCTTATATATAAGGTTATTATTAATCCCGTGGCCGCGTGGCTATTATATATAAACCTTTTAATTAACTATTTTTATATTAAGATAGGTATTAATAATATTAAATTAATACTAGCTAAGCCTTTAAATAACTATAGCTATTAATATATATTTAACTACTATATTAGCTATAACTAAATAAAAGCTTTTATTATAATTTAATTTAATAACTTAGTAATTACTACACGCAATAATCCAAGCCTTAAATAATAAAATAAAGCTATTTTTATTACTTTTAAGTATAAATACCTACTTACTAAAAATAATCTTAGCCCCTTTTAATTATTTAACAAGCTTTTACGTGTTTATAGTAATTACTATGCTAATATAAACTAATATAGCTTTTTTTTATTAATTAAAAAACTTAAATTATCACGCTTTTTTATAGGATCTTAATACCTTAATATTATTAATATATAATTTAACTTTAGTTAATATTTAAAACCTCCCGGTAAGTAAATACTAAACTATTTTATTAAGTATTTTAATAACTCTAGTATTAACACGCTTGGTTACTTTAGTTAATAAGCTATAATTAATATAAGGTTTAGGGTATTTAATTAATAAAATAATTACTATATTAAAAATATTGGTGTTTATATTTATCTTGTGTGGGGTGGCCTTTATTATTAAAACTTTTAATTAATTAGGGAATTAGCCTGGTATCTTATAGTTTAATATTCTTAAATTTTAATTAATTAGTATATTTAATACTATATTAGTATTTGTGTTAAATACACGTGGCTTAAAGTAGTTTACCTTAAAAATCTGCCTATATATATTTTAAATATTATTTAGTACTAATTTTAATAAGTTAAGGTTATTTTAAAGCTTTTAAGGGCGCGAAGCGGGTGGGGCTTAGGTTATTAATAAAAATAATATAATTTATATTTAAAATTAACTAATAAAATTTATTAATAGTGGTGTATAAGCCGGCGTTATTATAATATTAATATTTTTTATTAAAAATTAAGGTGGTGTTACTAAATTAAGGTTATTATAATAATTTAATAAGGTTGGGCTTGGCACGCTAGCATTATTATTATTATTATTAATTAGTTATTTTAGTAAAATTTTTATATTTTTAGTATGTAAGTATTATATTAGCACTAAAATAAAATTAACCTAGTATTTTAATATTAACAAGGCAGGTAATTTTAATTTAATATTACCACGTGGTACTAAAGTTAGTTAGTATTATAAAATTAGGAATATAATTTAAATTTAGCTAGTAATTAGTATTTTAAACACCTGGATTATTAAAATTAGCTTAAAAATAAGTATATTATTAAGTTTAGTATTATATATAGTAGCCCCTGGCGCTAATTTATTTAATTAAGGCAGGGCACCTTTTATAAATATAATATTAAGCAGGTAATTATTTTTATAAAACTTTAATTTATTAAATAAAATATACTTTAAATAATAAACCCGCTTCCCTAGGACCCATACCTAAAAAATTTTATTATTATTTTTTTTATATTTAACTAAATAACTAATTAAAGCTCTTGTAGCAAGCTTGTGGGACTATTTATAATTTTTAATTAATATATAAATATATAATTTATAGTTATAAGCGCGAAAGTTATTAAAATAAGGTATTAAGTTATTAATTTAGTAATATTCACGCCATAGCTACAAGGGTAACTTGCTATAAAAATTTTTAATAATAAATAGTTAATTTAAGATTATAATAGCAGCCTTAATTATTTTAGGCTATATTTTTTTTAGTAAACTAGTATTAATTTTTATGGCTTGGGCTATTATATTAATATACTAGGTATAATATTTTAAAATCTTATTAAACTTTAAAGTTTTTAGTAAAAAAGGTTAAAATATTAGACCTTTTGGCTTGGCCCAGGCCTTATACTTAAAAAACTTTTTACTACTATTTATTTTAATAACATAAATATATTATCCTGTAAGGTGCTTGTGGTATTTTTAGTATAATATTAGTTATTAAAACACTTTTTTTTTTAATATAGTATACCGCGGCTAATTAAATAGCATTATTAATAATTATAAGGTAATAATTAAATTTACTAATTTTAGTTAATTAAATAGGTTATATATTTATATACCATAGTTTTTTTAAATTTACTTCCCGCGGGACGGGCCAGAATAATATTTTATAAAATTTAGCCTTAAGGTAAGCAAAGTAGTTTAATTAATTAGTAATATTTATATTAAGGCCTTTTGCCTAGGCTATAGTATAAAGTCTAAAAATACCCGCGTGGCTAAAGCGCTTATAAAATAAATTTATATTAACTATAGTTAATTAAAAACATTATTTAAATATAAACTTTAAAAAAGGGATATTATAGCGTGTATAAGCTTGCCTTATAATAAATTTATTTAAGCTAATAAAAATATTATTTTTTTTATAATACTATATGCCAAGCATTTTTTTTAGCCTTTTAATAAATAATAAGTAAATTAAAGCCTTAGGCGCGTGATATTTATAAACCTTAATTTTTTTATATATACTATTTATACTCTTTATAATAATAATTAGTATTTCATAACCTTTAGCATGTTTAATTACTTTATTAAATATTTTATATAAGTATCCTAAGTAGTTTAGGCTGTATTTTATATAGTTTTTAAAGTTAAAATACTTAAAAAAAATAAACTTAGCTAATTTTATATTTATAAGCTACTTTATTAGTTTAGTGGTTATAGTAAAAGTAGGTATAACCAAGAATTTAAGGCTAATTTTAAGCTTTAATTTATTATATTTAAAGTTATAATTATTAAATTTATTATTATTATATAAAGCTATAGCTTATAGTTTTATACTAGTTTTATTTAGGTATAACACCCATACTTTAAAAAGCTTAATTTAATTATTAAGTTAAAGTTAAGGGTTTAAATAATAATAATTTTTTTAAAAATAGCTACCATGTTTATAATATTTATAAAAATAAACCTTATTATTTTTTTGCTTTATTTAATTAACTTATTTTTTTTTATTTATACTATTTAAAGGGCTAGTAAGCACTTTAGTATAGGGTTTTTTATAATAAACCTATTTTTTTTATTTTTTTAAGGGCGGGGCCGCGGCAGCAAGTAGGATAATTATTTTAGCTTTAGCTATAGTATTTTTATATAATTATTTTAAATTATTCTTGCTATAGTTTCTTAAAATCTTATTAATTAAAAATAATTATTAAAATATAGCTTATATTTTAAGGTTATTATAAATTTTTTAAAAAACTAATAACATGGTAATGCTAGGCTTAATAATAATATATAGGTTTTTAATAATATTTTATATAATTATAAACACTATAATAAACTTAAAAGTAGTAAAAAACTAGTTTTTATATATATTAATAACACTAAGCACTGCCTTGGTAATCTAAGGTATGCCTTATTTAATAATAATTTAGTAAATTATATTAAATATTTTATTAGTATACTTTATTAAATATAGGAATTTTATAATTTTAATATAAATTTTATAGCTAACTTAGCCCAGGAGCTAATTAATAATAAGTATTAAGTAATTTTTTTATTATTTTTAATATAATTTATTTTTAAAAGGCCTGGCAAGCAAGAAATTAATTAATTAAAAAAGGCATAGGGCTTGTAAATATTTTCTTACCTAATTAAATTACTTATTATAATTAGTTTAGCCCAAGAGTTTAATCCTAAGTAGGTATATAATAATAAAAATTATAGCCTTAAGCAGGCAGTGCTTATAATATGCCTGTTTAAGCAAGAAATTAAAAAAATTTATTAACTAAGTTACTTATTAAGGCGTCCCTGCAGCAGGATTAGGTATTTTTATAATAAAAATAGTTTATTAAGGCTTAGCTATATTAAATATTAAGTTTTAATTAGTTAAAAAATTATAGTTTTATTAATTTATAAATAGTAGGTGTTAAAAATTATGTTTTAAAAAGGTAAAAAAAGTATATAATAATACTTATTACAAGCTTTAAAGCTTATAAAAATACTTAAAAAAGTTTTAAATAATATTTTAAAGTAATTAAAAAAGTTTAAAAGCTTATAACCTAATAACTAGCTAATAATATTACTTATAGTAAACCTTTAAATTATTTATATATAGCAAGCGGTAAGTTATAAAAAAACCTTAACCATCACGTGCTGCGCTAGTCCTAATCAGGATAGGCGCGTCCCGGGCGCCGGCCCTCCGGGCGTCCGACAGTTCATTACTAGGTAGCGGCTTTGTTTTGAATCACATGACACCGGCGCGGCCACTTTCCTTCGGCCTCCTTTCGACTTTCATCCCCCTATTATCCCCCACATGTGTGGATCTCAGACGTATACTGAACTTCAATCCGAACATGACTGTTTACTTTTCGAAATTAGTTTTTGCTTAGCAAAGCCGATGCGGATCATTTATCTTATATTCCTTTTCTGACTTGCCATGACTAGGCACACGCCACTCGAAACTACATCCAATGCGCCACTACTGTGTAGTATGCGGCGTGAATATTAGCCGCGCCGCTGCCGCACCAGGAACTGTACCGGAGGAGAGCCTTTCATGGTATCAAGAGCTCCGTGTTGGTATGCTATCTGAAGCCCGGGCATATTTGTTTATAGCTAACAGCCAGCGGTCCGGCGCCACGATGATCTAGACGCCGCAACCATTAGTGGCTTGGGGTTCATCAATTCTTCCAATGAACTGACCGTCGCCGAAGACTATCAAAGCAGATTTGATGATGCTAATGTGAACCTTCATACCTACTTCCCGTTCTATGATCTGGAGCAGCGTACCTGGAGCTTCACTCTTCACGCAATATGCTGGGAAATCCTGCTACAAAGAGTCCCAGAAGGGGCTGCGAATATAGCCAAGCTTTCAAATGTCTTTTTTCAGATTGTATTCTGTACAATATGGAGTCGTCACAGATATATGCGCCCTGGCCATGATTTTGGAGGCGCAGCTCAGTTTCAGAAGCCCGTTGGAGATCCGATAAGGCGTATGACGGATGAAGGATTCGCGCAGATGTTGAGCCGCCCTTCGCAGTTTTGCGATGTGCCCGAGATATTATCATCACTCTCCCAGTTTCAAAAACCTCGATCTCGTCATAGAAGATTCGTTCCCATGACAGTGCGAATTCCTTCTGCGGGGTTTGATTTATTCTCTTCGCTTCCTGCAGAAGTCTTACATATGATATTGTCTATTCTTTCTTCAGTGGACATTCGACATTTGCGATTGGCGTCGAGGCGTGTTGCATCTGTAACCGACCCCGCATCACTCCCCCAGTCCTTCTGGCGGAGCAGGTTCTGTGCTGATGCTGAAATGGGATTTGCCTTGCCAACTAATGAATCTGGACACCAGAACTGGCGGGATGCTTATTTTCTGTTGAAGGATACTTTAAGCGACAGTTCCTGTGTTCCAAGAGTAAAGAACCGCCTTCGAATTTGGAGCCTCGTTGGCATCAACGCTACTTTGCTTGCTGGGCATATGATAGGAGACGGTCTTCATGGCGACCAATGCACGGGAACAATACTCATTCCTGCTGAGGCCGAAACACTTACTTCAGACGTCTTGCCCGGGAGAATGGTTCGTACTTCAGCCTTTGTAGATGAACATAACCTACTTCCGTCAGGCAGTAGAAAGCTCCACGATAGGGTCGTCGTTCTCCCCTTGGGAACCTGCGCCATCATCAGAGTCAACATATCTACCATTCTCTTTAATTCAGAGAAGTTCGTTTCTGGCTTGCAATTGGGCGTCGTCAATACCTCAACTCAGGCCATCACGAATCTAAGCCTCGGGTTTATTTCGCCAGACCACCAGTTGATTGAGATTGCTCCAACGGTTCGCATAACAGGTTTCGAGCTGGCTACATGTCCTCGTGGAGTAACGGGAATAAGAGCTATTGTTGACCGCGGCCCCCAACCCCAATGGGTGGGTGACACTGGAAACGGCGAAGCTCAATTTGCATTCGGAATCTTGAATTTTACGCGAGAGGGATCAGATATCCTACTCGTTGCCAGTTTTGATGTAAGCCACTGCGCAAAGAGTCAACCTCGCCAGATACTGACACTATAGGCTTTCAAAATGATTGCTTTGGGGGTGACCGAAGGCAGCTCAGAAGTCGGCTTTGACAAGCCCTTCGTATCCCAGCCTGTCTGGACGCCCACTTATCCCAGAAAAACGGTAGCCCTTGCTCCCGAACCATGGAACCCTCGACCCGATACATCAAGCCCGATTCTGAATATCGACTTCGGTGGCCCTACCGGCGAAAGGCTCACACGGCTTACGCGCATAGTTTCACACATGGTCGACAAGTCATCGCCTTTTGTCGGACTTTCGTTCTACCTTGATGATCAAAGCTTCTTTCACTTTGGCCAGCGAGGCTCAATGGAAGTTTCATCATTCATTGATGGGCCTGGCGGAGAGTTGATCTCAAGCATCATAGTCGAAAGGTCCGCAGAGGATGACCGGGTCCTCTCGCAACGGGTACGCTTCATGGTCCACTTCAGGAAGAACTGCCGACTAACTTGCTTTCTATAGATAGTCACAAACCTTGGAAACGAACTCATCTTCAGTTCAAATGAGTTAGAACACTCTCAGGTGGCAGAGCACATTCCAGTACTGAACGATGGTTTGGGGCCAAACCCTTTCATAAAAATGGAGGAGAAGATTATAGAGACTCTGAAGCCTCACCCTGGACACCAAATAACAGGTTTGACTGCTACCACCGAAGTAAGTCCAGTTACATATGAAAACTTCCGTTTACTGAACGTTTTTAAAGGCAGATGCCGGGTTCTTTCTGAATCTCGGGTTGCAGTGCGAGAAACTGCAGCAGGCACCTGACTCGTCCTCAGCCGGAGAAAAAAAAGGCGTCACAAATTCGGCTTCTTTATCTGCAAGCCTAGCGTCATCTTTGGGCTCCTATATTATCGCCGAGGCAGGAAATGGACTCAGAGCTTATACGTCTGCAGCCTTGCAATCAGTAAAATGCATACGAATCTCAAACGGGAGTACCAGACGCCCACGGCTCGATAATGAAGTTTCTGGACTATGGTTTGAATATCACGGGTCGTGTCCTTCAATTGTTGGCCAGTGGCTTTGTGAGGGTGCGTCCATGAGCCTCGACACAGAAGAGATAATAACGGGAATCACTATCTGGCTTTCCGATGGCAGATACTCTCGCGCTGAAAGGGTGTACAACGGCCGCGTGATTCGCGTTTCAATTACGACTACCCTGCGGACTGTATCGTACCCAGAGGAACTTCCACCGACAAAGTACACTGTCCTCCGGTTCCACGGTAGCCACCTTGAGAAACTTGTAAGAAAGCCCCATATCACGCCATTGGTTGCGCATGATACTGATTTCATTCACAGTCGCACATGGTCTGGGTCTTCAACAATGCCTGGGACTTTCCCAGGGTGATACCTATTCCCACGTTGTCCGGCGCTAAGGTGACGCTCTGGCATCCGAATGACTTCCTTGCTACACGCCCATTCGCTTCGCCGGATAAGGTGCTATGGAAGGGGATCAGTGTCACGGATAACCTGATCTCCATAACGGGATATCACGGCCATAATAACGGAAACCTTGTCACGGGCTTGAAATTTACATATTCATCTGGCACTTCCAGGGAGATGGGCGATGTGACCGGTCACCAAACTCACAATGTCTTGACATTCGAGCCTGATGAAGAGATTCAAACGGTTGAGTTCATTGCTGACTCGAGGCGTCTTCTGGACGTGGTCGTAAGTGTGATTCCTTTCTTAGTCGAGGGATGTATAGATTGACAAAGAGATAGTTTCATTCTGAAAAAGGCAGCAGCGGCAAGAGCCGCAGGCGTGCACTTGTCGATGCGCCTGACTCGGAGGCATTCGAACGTCACGAAGTCGATACCTTTCAGCGAACGTTTCAATCTCATTATTGGGGCTCAGATACACCTGATGAAGGAGTCCTGTCTGGGGAGGTGGTTGGTATCTGGGGCTTTCTCATGGCAGACGAGGCTCTTGTTACTGGCTTCGTTCTTTTGGAAGAGTCTTAGATAGTCCGCAACGCTCCTCCGGTGTCTCTGGCGAAGCATATTCTGCGCGGATGCTGAGATGGGATTTGCACTACAGTTAACAAGAGCGGGCACAGGACTGGCGAGACGCTTACTTGCTGCTAAAGCATGCTTCACGAGACGGATCTGATTCCTGCTTCAGCTCTGCTTCAGCACGTGTCAAAAGCCGTTGTCGCATTTGGGACATTGTCAATATTAATGCTCCTCTGCTCGCGGAGCATGAGGTTGACGATTACTCTTCAAGGAACCTTACCGGCACTGAAATCCGAATGAGTCAAAATCAGCTTTCCGTGAGATTCACAATGCTGGAATCCCTCCCATTTTCTCTGCCTCAACCATCTCTTGTACTTTGTACCTACATCATCCACGCATCGAATATCTCACACCTAAAATGTCGCAGCAGAACAGACCTGCCTCGCAAAGCCCGGTGCCAACCGAGGATGAACAGCGACGGCTCAACCATCAAATCCGCTTGGTCAAAAAAGGCCTCAAAAAGGGGTCCTTCAACGCCGAGTACTGGACCAACTCGGCCGAGCTGGAGAATCTCCAGCTCCAAAGGACAGAGATATCTCGAAAAGCCTCCATGAGAGACTGGGAGGGTGCAGAGCCCTGGGAGAACATACCAAGGGGTCAGGAAGTCAAGGCGAGCATCTGCGCCCATCAGGCAAGCCTCCGCATTGCGAAAAAGCGTGCCGACAATCTCGACCCCGAAAATGGTGGGCAAAAAAGAAGGCGCGTGATTTTTTCATGAAGCTATTCACGACGAGCAGGACAGGGCTCGGCGTCATGAAACGGGCACGGACGACAGAAACTCGGGGGACCAGTCTTCGTTCCGCAAGGAACTGATAGCAACTGGTGATGCAAAGCATCCGAAATTCGAATGGCTTTGGGTCCCCGTTCTCGGCAGATATTGGCCTGAAGAGGAAGTCGTGGCCGCCCACCTCTTCCCGTGCATGCACGGGCAAGAGAGCATGGACGATATCTTCGGGAAGACCAAGTCACCAGAGCTTTTCTCCGCCCGGAATGGCATTCTTGTGCCCCGTTTCTTCGAAAAGTATCTTAACGCGGGGAAGATTTTGATTGTCCCAGATCTGCCCGACGACCGCCCGCCCCTGGCGGAGCTTCTTGCCTGGGTCTCGCAGGAGACACGCGAGTTTAAGCTGCGAATCATTGACCCTAAATGGGAGAAACTCGACCATCTCATTCATCTTAATGATGAAGAGACCTAGAGGTCTCTAGATGGGAAAAGACTTGTATTCCGCACCAATTTCCGCCCGGCAGCGCGGTACCTGTACTACCATTATTGTATCCAGAGCCTGCGCCGTGCCTGGGCCCACAACACCAATGGAGGCTCACTCCCCATCCTAAGGGATGAGGCAGGGCGGCTCTTCTGGGGCATGCCGGGTAGATATATACCCAAGAACATGCTGCTTGCGTTGGTGGAGGAGGTGGGTCACAACTACCAAGACATCCTAATTGGTGCTGGATGCAGTAGAGGCGACTCAGACAAAGTCCTGGAGACGGCCGCAAATGCAGTCAAGGCACGGCGGTCCGCGCTTAAGGACATGTATTGGGGCACCGAGGAGAGTACGGACGATGATGATGAGACGGACGATGACCTCGAGGCATGGGGTGGAAGGGTGTGATGGATTTCGTTTTCTTTTCTCTTCTTTAATTCATGTTTGCTTAGTTTTATTGTTGTATAAAGCTGCCAGAATTGATCAATATCAATACCAAAGGCATTTCATCACTCAAGATTGATCGAGTACATGTAAGCGACGTAGACTACAGCCAACAGGTGGCTGATGAATGCCCTCCTTACATCTTTCGACGGTGCTAGGAACTGTATGGCTTCCGGGCAATGTTTCATGGTGTCTCCAAGTAAGGAGTAAATGAAGAGACGGATGACATTCCCGGATATCACAAAAGGCGCGAGGGGCACTCGCACTGTCAGCTTTTTTGACGTATAGGCGCGGTTTTTATGGATGTATGGCATGGGTCCGCGGAGTTCTGCAGTATCCTTTAGTGCTCTAGTGTCACCCCTGTTCCAGTCCATACATCTGCTTTGCAATCACTTAGTTCACTCTCATTATTGGGGCTCAGACGCACTTGAGGAAGGATCCCTATCTGAGGTCCTTGGGATCTAGGGCTTTCTCAGCTTTATTCTTCGGGAGAGTCCTAGATAGTCCATGGCTGTGGATGCAATGCAGGTGGTGTAGGTACGGTGGTACAAACTACAGAGCAGTTACTCCGCATCTCTAGGAAGGCTCAGGACCAAGGTAGGTAACCCTTCGCCTCGACGATCCCTGCGTCCTTCCCCTCTCCCCCTCGCGTCTCATGACATCCCAGGCACTTACCACCTCAATGTCCATTCTACCTGTTGCTACCATCTGCTATTGCTAACACCATGCTCATCCCACTACTAGTCTCCATATCCAGCCTAACGCACACCACAGCAAATGCAATCGCAACACAAGATCAAGACTTCGACCCCCTCACCTACATCGACCCCCTCATCGGCTCCACCAACGGCGGAAACGTCTTCGCCGGCGCCTCACTCCCCTACAGCATCGCAAAAGCCGTTGCGGACGTCGACGGCCAAAACACAGCCGGCTTCGCGTCCGACAACAGCCGCGTAACCGGCTTCTCGGCCCTGCACGACTCAGGCACAGGCGGGAACCCCTCGCTGGGGAATTTCCCGCTGTTCCCACAGATCTGCTCGGATGGGGACGATGTCAACAGCTGTGTCTTTGGGAAGAGTGCCCGCGCGACGGGGTACGTCAACGACTCGGTTGTCGCGAGACCAGGGTATTTTGGACTGCGGATGGAGAGTGGGATTGGGGCTGAGATGACGGTTTCGGCGAGGGCGGCGCTGTTTCGGTTTGCTTTTCCTGCTTCGGCTTTGTCTGGTTCTGGGTTGGAAGGGGGTGGCGAGGGAAGTTCGCTGATTCTGCTTGATCTGACGGATCTCTGGGATAGTCGGCAGAATGCCTCTATTTCCGTTGACCCTGGGAACGCGAGGATCATTGCCAACGGGACTTTCCTCCCGTCGTTTGGCGCTGGATCGTACCGGTTCTATACCTGCGTTGATTTCTACGGCGCCTCGGTGCGGGATAGCGGGGTCTGGGTGAATGATCGCGCTGGCACGGATGTCCAGGACCTTTACGTGACGAGGGGGTTTAACCTGTTCTATATCCAGGCTGGCGGATTCTTCAGGTTCCATCGGCCGGACGAGGGAAATCTCACAGTGACTGCACGGGTAGGGGTAAGCTACGTGAGCAGCCAGCAAGCCTGTCAGAATGCAGAAAGGGAGATCCCATCACCATTGGATGACATTGACCGACTACGAAGTGAAGCGGAGGAAGCGTGGAGGGAGAAGCTGAGTCCTATCTCAGTCACACCTGGCGGTGCAGGTGAAGACCTCCAGCGGAGTTTCTGGAGCGGGCTTTACCGCAACATGCTCGATCCACAGGATATGTCCGGGGAGAATCCGCTATGGGATAGTGAGGGGCCGTACTTTGATTCGTTTTACTGGTAGGCCCTATACCTCCTCCCATCGCCATTACATGGCTGGCCTGCTGACTGCAAGAATAGTATATGGGACTCGTTCCGAGTCCAACACCCCCTCCTCACAATAATCGACCCGGAGACCCAGTCCCTTATGGTTCGCAGCCTCCTTGACACCTACAAGCACGAAGGGTACCTCCCGGACTGCCGGATGAGCTTATGCAAAGGCTGGACACAGGGCGGCTCAAACGCTGACGTCGTGCTTGCGGACGCCTATGTCAAGAATCTCACTGGTTCAGACGCCAACGGGATTAACTGGACGCTGGCCTATGAAGCCATGGTCAACGACGCCGAGAACGAGCCGCTGGAGTGGTCGTACCAAGGCCGCGGCGGGCTCAAGAGCTGGAAGAGCCTGGGTTACATCCCGTACCTAGACTTCGATTACCTGGGCTTTGGGACAAATTCGAGGAGTATTTCGCGCACTGTCGAGTACGCGTATAATGATTTCTGCGTTGCAACCTGCTGGAAGTGGGTGCCTGAGGCCACCGGCGGCCTTAGGGCTCCGGTGGAGGAAGGTTCTTCCGGCCCGAATGGCCACTATAAAATTCTTTATTTATCCCTAAAATATCTAGCTTAATATATAATATAATATAAAAAACTTTTATATATAATAATTATTTTTTTTTTTAATAGGTTATAAGCCCGGGTTTACTTAACTTATATATTTAATTAAAAGTCTTTTTTTTTAAATTAACCCATACTAACTAAATACATAGTATTTTTTTTATTTTATTTATCTAGCTTTATATTTTTTTTTATAATTTTACTAATTATTATAATAATTAAAAAGCCCTATGCTTAGGGCAAAGGCCTTATTATAAAGGTATAAATATTATAACTTTATTTTATTTTACCTTAAATTTTTTATTTTTTTTTTTACCTTTACCTTTTTAATTAACTTTTAACTTTATAAATATTTGCTTTTTAAGGCCACATGTATTTAATTTTTTTAATAAAAATAAGTTTTTTTTAATAGTTAAAAAGTTCTAGGACCTTTAAAGGTAATATAATACCTTTAAATTTTTTAACTTAAATTTTAATTTTAACTACTTTTTAAAAATTTAAACTAACCTTTAAACCTTTAATTAGCTATCCCTAGTTACTAGTTTTTTTTTTATAACTATTTTAGTATAGGCTTTAGCCTATTTAATTTTAATTTTATTATAGTAACTTTTTAGGGCTTATTATTTTTAATTACCTTAAGTTTTTAATTTTTAAGTACTTTAATCCCTGGCTTCTAGACCACTTTAATTTTTTTTATTATTTAGTTTTTTTATATTTAATTTTTTTATATTTAGTTCTCCTATATTAAGTTAAAATAAAAAAAAATAACCTTAATTAAAGTGGAGAATATCCTGGTTTTAACCTTAAAAAATTAGTAAGTTAAATAAAACTAATAAGTATTTTTAAAACTTTAAAAGGCTAGCTATAGCTATTTTTTAAAATAGCTAAATTAAAAATATTTTATAAAAACCTTTATTAGTTTTTTTTTATTATACTAGCCCTAGCAGGTAGAGATACCAAAACCCCTAGCTAATAATTTATTATAAGTTAAGCTAAAAATATAAGTATTAATAATAAAGTTTTAGTTACTATTATACCTTTTATGTAACCTTTTACTTAGCCTGCTACTAAGGTTATTATTACTAAGCCTACACCCCTAGTAAATTATAATAAGGTAAAAATTTAATAGTAAAACCAAGACCGGGCTATGGCTTTAATCCTTAATTATTTAAGTTTAAATTTATAAAACCTTTTTATTAATAAATAAATAATTTATAAATTACTTAATAAGATTAAAAGCCACCTTAAACTTAATACTAATATTATAATTTTTAAGGCCTGGGCTAACTTAATATCCTTATTTTATAATAAAAGTATTTTTAACCTTAGCAAGAAACTTAGGGAAATTTAATAAAAATTTACTTATATTAATATTACTTTTTTAATTAAACTTATTATTATTACCTTTTACTAAGCCCTAGGTAATTAATTTAATTATTTTAAGGCTATATATTTTAATAATTATATTATTAAACACTTTTTAAGGAATATTACTACACTAATTATTTTTTTAAATAACTTTATAATTACTATTAAGTTTACTAAATTAAACTAAAACTAGGGTACTAGTACCCTAACACTTTTTTTTAATAAGGTATTTAAGCTTAATATTAAATATTATAAAAATTACCTTAATATTATTTAAATATATAAAAATAAGGGTATTATAAATATTACCACATGCTATTATCTTTATTATAACATGCTTTTTTATAGCTAAAAAACCTGCTATTAACTTTATTTTAAGCTTAAAACTACTTAAAAAAAACTTTTAGGGTGGTAAGGGCGTTAAGCACCCTTAAAAAAATTTTAAAATTAAAAAAAATATAAAGCTTATACTTAAGCTAGTACTTATAATTTAAATTAGTTTAAATTTTAAATAAAAAACTATTTAAAATAGTTTTATTTAATAAATTACCTTAAATAATAGTTATACGCAGCATGTTACTTATAATTACTTTTTATTTTAAAATCTTAAGCCCTATACTAGCCCTAGTATTAAGAATATTAATCTTAAAGTTTTTAATACCTAAGGTATTAATATTATTAAAATTTTTTATTATATTAATAGCTAGCTTAAAATTTTAGCTTTAAATAATATTTTATATTATTTAAACATGTTTTTTATACTAATTTTTATTTTTTAGTTACTAAATAAATATTACTTAATTAATTTTAGCTAGTAAAATATAAAAGCTAAAAAGCTACAGGGTATTAATATTATTATTTTATATAGTTATAAATTAACCTAGTATATGGCTACTAAAGTTTATAAAATATTTTTTTTTAATTTTTACTAGGGCCTAGTAATACTAGTTATTTTAATATTAATAGCCTTTATTTTTTAGGATAAATTTTTCTAGCTTTAGTATTAATAAATAGGCTATACCTTTAAAAATTAGCTTAATAAAATAAAAAAGGTAATTTATAATATATATATACCTAAGGGCTATATTTATAAATCCTATATTATTATATATTAGTAGGTTAAGCCTTATAAAGGTACTATAATATTTATTAATTAATTATTTAAATTACTTTATATAAATATTTCTGGCCTATATCCACTTTTATTTAATAAAAAGGTATATATTAATTTTATTATAAATAATAAATCTTATTATTACTAGGTTATAATACTAGCTAGTAAAAATAAATTTATTATTTAGGCTTTTTTTATTATTTACTAATATAACACGCCCAAGCTCCCGCTGCACCATGTATACTATAATTAAAAAAAAATATTTATAACTTATAATATCTTATTTATAGCTTTAAAGTTATTATAAAAACCTTTAGTATAAACTAGTATAAATAAAATAGCCATGTTAAAATACTTATTAGTAAGTTACTTAGCCTTATATAATTTATATTATATAATATTAAAGCCCTAGCTAACATATAGTTTAAGTTTTATAAAAATATTAATTATTTATATAATTAAACTTTATATTTTATACTAAATAATATTATACTATTTAAAGCTTAATATAGCTACTAGCTAAATATCTTTTATATTTATATTTTTTAATTTAAGGTTTATATTTTAAACCTACTAAAAAAGTAAAAAAAGCTTTATAAAAATAGTAAAATAAAAATTAAAAGGCTAGTTAGGTTTAATAAAAAAATAAATAAGTTATACCAGGTTTTTTTAAATAATAGCTATATAGTTTTAGTATATAATATTAATATTATTAAGAATTACTATATTAGGCTAGATTTTTTACTAAAAGTAATTACTTTAGCACCTTTAAAAATCTTTATTTTTAAGGCTTTACCTTTTTTAAGGATTTTTATCCCCAAGGCTTTACCTTTTTTAAAAATATTTATTTTTAAGGCATTACTTCCCCTAGGAATCTTTATTTTTAAGGCACTGCTTAAAGCTTTAAACCTTTTAAAAATTTTTATTTTTAAGGCACCTAAAGCTTTAGTATTTTTAAAAATCTTTATTTTTAAAAACTTACTAGCTAATACTAACCTAAATACTAAAAAAAATCTTAAAAATAAATTCTTAAAAAGCTTAGCTTTTAAGGACTTTTTTAAGTATATAAACCCTAAGAATCTAGTAATAAAAGCTACTAATTTAATTATTAAAGTTAATATATTTTTAAAAAACTTAAATTTTAGCTTTTATAATATTAGCCTAGTATACTACACACGCGCCCAGGCTATTATTAATTTTAAAAAAGCTTTTTAAATCCTAAATAAGCTAGCTTATTTATTTTATTTTTAAAATATTACTAAAGCCATGTAAAATAGGATTACCTTAGTTAATAAATTTTATTTAAATAATTTTTAAGTACTAGCTAGCAAGCCTAGCTTAAATAATATTTTAATATTAGCTATAATATTTTATAAGTAAATTTTTAAAAAAAAAATAAACTAATAATTTAGCAAGCTAAAGCTAAAGGTAAATAAAATAAGTAGTTTAAGGGTATATAAAAAAATATAATTTTTTAATAAAAAATAAAACTTAAAAACTTATTAACCTGCCTTTTAAAAAACACTTACTCTTTAGTAAATAAGTTTTAAAGGTTAAAAAAAAACTAAAAAGCTAAATTTTTTATTATAAAGCTTACTAGGTAATTTATGGCTTTAAATAAGTTTATAGGCTTAATTATTATAAAACCTTTACTAAGGTAATAAAGCTAATAAGCTATAAGCTTTTTTTTATTATTACTACCGCGCTAAACCTTAAAATTAAGTAAATAAATATAAAAATAATATTTTTATATAAGAATATTAATATTATAATTTTTATAAAATAACCTTATTTTTTTATTAATAACTTTAAATATATTTACTAGCTTTAAAAGGCCCTTTATAACTTAAAGTAAGTACCATAAATTTAATATTAATTATTTATAAATTTTTTAGCTATTTTAGGCTTTTATTTTATTTATTTAAATTTAAAAGTTTTTATTAATAGCAAGATTTTTATTATTATATATATAAATAATTTCTTACTAGTTAGCAGGGATAAAATCTAGATTTAAAAAATTAAAAATATTTTAAATAAATATTTTAAAATATTTAATCTTAGCCTATGCTATTACTATTTTAGTATAAAGGTTTATTAAAATTAAGCTAATTAAATACTTTAGCTTTTTTAGCTTAGTTATATAAACAAGATTTTTTACTAATTTAGTATAAATAACTTTAAAATTTATAATATATTAATAAATCCCTACTTAAAGCTAGAGCCTGCTTTTAAAAAATACTTAGCTTTAGTAAATATTTTAAAGTGGTATTTGTCAGGGCCAACGTTTTTCCGTTTAACATCACCGGAGCTAATCCACTGTTAGTCCGGAGTTAATACCTTAGGTAACCTAAGCTTTGGCCTTAGGCCGCCAAGGCTTGGCATACCTTATTATTATATTAGGCTATATAACTTAACTAGGTTATTAATATTTAGGGTTTTA